AGGAGGAGGAGGAGGAGGAGGAGGAGGAGGAGGGTTCCCGAGACGCCTCTCTGCCTTCTGCCCTGGCCTGCCCCCGCTCGGCACGCATCTCGGAGCGGCTCCCGCGCGGACCTGTGGTGGGGCCCCTGTTCGGGAGGCCGCCGGGGCACCTCCGAGGAGTTTCAGGAAGATGTGGCCCGGAAGTCCAGGGGAACCGAAATGGGTACGGAAATAATAGGTACGTAGCACTCCGCAGATGCGGATAAGGGTGAGGGGGCGGTGGGCACGTCGCCAGTTTGCGAGACTCTGGAGAAGCCCGCCGCAGGCGCCAAAGTTTTACGAATTATACAACGAGCCCGCCGCAGGCGCTGACTTTTTCGTTCAACCAATGTGGGTAGGTCGCGGGTGGGTCGCAAATGGGTCGCGGGTGGGTTGCGGGTGGGTCGCGGGTGGGTCGCTGTTGGGTCGCGGGTGCGTCGCGGGTGTAGAGAGAAAATCCACCCCATAATAATCACTCCGACAAGCGAAGCCGTTTAGCAAACGCACACAAGGAATGAATCGAACGGGGCAGGACTGTTTAGTCAACGCCCAGGGCCGTTTAGTAAACGTCAATTGTCGGCTCCGGGTGGTTTTTCCTCCCTTGGGTGGGTCTCAGGGTGGGTCGCGGGTGGGTCGCGGGGTGGGTCGCGGATGGGTCGCGGATGGGTCGCGGGGTGGGTCGCGGGTGGGTCGCGGGGTGGGTCGCGGGGTGGGTCGCGGGGTGGGTCGCGGGTGGGTCGCGGGCGGATCGCGGGTGGTTCGCAGGGTGGGTCGCGGGTGGGTCGCGGGGTGGGTCGCGGGTGGGTCGCGGGTGGGACGACGACAACAAACAACAACAGCAGCAGCAACAACAACAGCAACAACAACAATCATTTTAAGACTGTTCGCTATTATCTGCTCGAGTGTCCAATAAAGCGTATTTCTCAAACCCTCGATACCCGCCTTCTTCGTCTTCGATCGAACCCCTTTTGGGGGGTATACCTTTCTTCCCTGCAGGCTGCGCCCCGGCAAGCGGCGGGGCGGCCGCGGACCGTCGGCCTGGCCAGCGGCAGCGCTGATCGGCGGGGCGGCCGCGGACCGTCGACCCGACCCCTAGAGGGACGGACAGGGGACCGACCACGACGACGACGACGTCGACGACGACGGCGACGACGACGGCGGCGACGACGAGCGAAAGCGAGAGCGAGAGAGAACGACAGCAGGGCCACGAAGGACACGAAGTAGGCCACGAAGGGCGACAGCGGGGACACGAAGAGAATGCGTATGGGGCCACGAAGAGCGCGAACGAGCGGGGGCCACGAAGGGCAGATAATGCAGGACCACAGAAGGCAACGATGGGGCCACTGAGGGTAGCAAGTGGGCCACGTAGGACAGTGAGGCGGCCACCAACGGCGACAGGGGGGCCACGAAGGACATGCACGTGGGGCCACACCGGGCGCGATTCCTGGGTGCCTGGGTGTCGGGAGCGCGGCGCTTGAGCAAATTGCACGACATTCCAACGCCAGGGCGCCATTTTTAAGTAAATCGCACGCAAGTCTCCAGCGAGAGCGCGACTCCAGAGCGCCGGGACAGCGATTCCTGAATATCTTGCAAGGACGTCTCAAGCGAGAGCGCGATTCCTGAATACATTGCGATGAAGTCTCGGGCGAGAGTTGGGGTCCCGGCTAAATTGTGAGAGTCTGGGGCGGGAGCCGTTGGGGGCCAGGGGCCCAGTTCGAACATCAAGACTTTCCCTGTCAAAAAACAGGGTGCGAGCGTCGAGGGGCACACTTTGATTGAGAAAAACAGTATGCACCGGTGGGGGGGATCAACAATAAGTATTCTTCAGAAGTGAGAGTTCAACAACAACACCAACAACACCACCACCATCAACAACAACACCACCAACAACAGCAACAACAATAACAACATCAACATCAGCACCAGCAGCAACAACAACAGCAACAGCAACAACAACAACAACATCACCAGCAGCAGCAACAGCAACAACAACAACGCAATACACATAATTTTCAACACGTTTTTTTTGTATTCAGTTCGGATCCTTCACATTGGCAAGGCCCAGCAACGGATGTTGTTCCTTCTGTGCAGAATTGGCAGTCGGCGTCGCTGTTGTTGTTGTTGTTGTTGTTGTTGCTTATTCGAAGCACAAGTTCGCCTGGCCACCAGCGGCCGCTGCTCTTTGCCGTTGGGGATCATATTCATTTTCTTCGTACCATTTTCGGGCGTCCGGAGATGTGCGTCCATTTGGGGCTTAAGAAACGGGGGTCACTGTAGGCGGGGGTCAGCGGGAGCGCCAGTTCTTGTAGGATCCTGCAGAGCCAGTGGTGTACTGACCCGGGTTGGGGCGCAGGACCCTGCAAGGGTCTTGCAGGATTTTGCAGGGTCCTGCAAAGCCAGATTGACTCAGGCCGGATGGGGGGGGCAGGAGAGGGCAAAGGGAGAGGAGGACGGAGAGGAGGAGTAGGTAGCCTTCGTCGGTGCCAGCGTGGCCGGCCTGCTGGGCGTCGCTGCAGCTCGCGGGCGCACCGATGGGGGGTGATGATGATGATGATGATGATGATGATGATGAGGAGGAGGAGAAGGAGAAGGAGGAGGAGGAGGAGGAGGAGGAGGAGGAGGAGGAGGAGGAGGAGGATGGAAAGGAGGAGGAGGAGGAGGAGGAGGAGGGGGAGGAGCAGATCCCCGACTCCTGCCCGGCCATCAGAGAACGATTCGCGGGGCGAGGGGTCTGGGGCCCTGAACGGCGCGGTGATCCTACCGTGTGGTGAGCCAGGGGGGATTGGGGGGACTGCAATGTTTTGGGACGTGGTTCGTTCTCCGAGGACGTCTCGGGCCACTGGGGCCTCTGAATTCCCAGCGTCGTTTGTTGACGCGCCGTGTGGTGAGGTCTTTGGGGATTTCGAGGTCACTGCACAGTCTGTCACCGCACCGCTTCGGGACCCCCAATAACGGCGGGACGCACTGAGGGGGTCGAGAGTTCTGGGAGCTGCCGGCTCGAGTATGGAAGACGACCTGACGACCGATGACCGACCGCGACGACGACGGCGATCGACGACGATAGCCGTCTCCGGAGGCGGTCGGAGGAGGCTTCCTGGAGGTTTCCGGAGGTCTCCAGGGGTTCAAACAGGAACACCAACGACCAAAAGCCTCGATCTCCGATCCCTGTGGTCCCACAGCGCGAGCAGCATAGTGCAGCACCGCATAAGCTCGCCGCCGCAGCCCCAGCCCCCGTCCTCCTGCGGCACCTCTCAAGCGGTATCGACCCGCGCAGGGCCCAGGGACCCGACTCGGGGCGAAGACGACGCCCATGGCAAACAGCAGTCGCGGCTGAGTCGACGACGACGGCGACGGCGACGACGACGACGACGACGACGACCACGACCAAGACGAAGACCACGACCCCGACCATTACGAAGACCACGACCACGACCACGACGTCCACGACGTCCACGACGTCCACGACGACCGCGATCACGACGACCACGACGACGACCGCGACCACGACCATGACAGCCACGACGAAGACCACGACGACGTCGACGACCGCGGGACCACAACCTCTACACCGACCACGACGAAGGTGGCGACGACGACGGCAACCTTGACGACGACGACGACCACGACGACGATGATGACGACCACGACGACGATGTCGAGGCCGACGACGATGACGACCACGGCGAAGGTGGCGACGACGACGAAGACGACCACGACTACGACGACGACGATGTCGACCACGACGACGACGACGACGACGACGGTGACCACGACGACGACCACGACCACGACGACGACGACGACGACGACGACGACGACGGTGTCCACGACGACTACGACGACGAGGAGGAGGACGACGACGACCACGACGACGATGTGGAGGACGACGACCACGACGACGGTGTCCACGACGACGGCCACGACGAGGAGGACGACGACGACCACGACGATGTGGAAGACGACGGCAACGACGACGACAACGACGACGACGACGACCACGACCACAACGACGACGACGACGACGACCACGATCATGATGACCACGACCACGACGTTGATGCCGACGACGATGACGATGACGACGACCACGACCACGACGACGATGTCGAAAGCGACGACCACGACGACGACGACGGCGACGGCGGCGGCGGCGGCGACGACGACGACGACGACGACGACCCCCGTCCGGAGGAGGCGCAGGGCGAGGGCGCCGACCTCTGGAGGGCGAGGCCGGCCGAGGCCGGGGAGTGCGGGGAGATTGTGTGCCTAGAGCGGCGGCTCTTGAAGGGGGGGGGAGGATGAGGTGGAGGAGGAGGAGGAGGAGGAGGAGGAGGAGGAGGAGGAGGAGGAGGAGGAGGAGGAGGAGGAGGAGGAGGAGCCGTGCCGCGTCGAGCTCGCCGTCGCAGGGCCGCCTGGCCCGCCGCGGGCCTCCGATGGCGGCGGCGACGGATCGCCGCGCGGCGCTGGCCGCAGCCCGCGGGGCTGCGCTGGCGGTGCACGGCGCTGCTGGCCTGGCGCGGGGTGCGGGAGCCGCTCGGCTGCTACGTTCCGCCGAGGGCCTTGTTCGTGCCGCGGCGGCGATGCTTGAAGCCGAGCTTCGAGCAGCCCGCCCCGCGGCCGCTGGTGGTGGAGGAAACGGTGGAGGTGGAGGCCCTGCAGAGCCACCTCGCGCTCCCGCGGCTGGCGCCCCGCCTGATGGCCATCGGACACGGCGGAAGCGCCGTCGTGCTCGGCGTCGACGAGCTCGCGGAGCGCAGGACGTGCCCATGGTGACCTCCAACGCCGCCGAGGAGGCGGGCGGTGCAGAGGGCGGCGACGGCGACAGCCTCGAGGACGACAGCTGGGCGGACGGGGCCGTCCGCCCTGCGCCCTTGGCAGGCGCGCCTGCCGCGGCCCCTGGCGCCGCCGCTGTGGTGCTGGGCGTGGCGCCCCCTACTCGTGAGTCGCCTGGAGCACCGCTCGGCGGCGAGGGGGGGGGCGCCGTGCTGCCCGCGGAGGAGGCGCCCGCTGCAGCTGCTGCCGCTGCTACCGCTGGCGCGGTGGCCGTGGAGGACGACGACGGGCCTGAGGTGTGCGGGCCGCGCTGATCTCAGCGTGGATCCGCACGCCTGGCGCTCGCGTGGCCGACTTCCAGCCGCACTTCGCCGCGCGGCCGCTGCCGCGCCTCCGAGCTTGGCTCGCCGAGGCGGTGGGCGCGCCCGGCGCCGGAGCGGGGGGGGGGAGGCAGCGGAAGGGTCGGCGATAGTGCGGCGCCCCGTGCAGGGGGGCCGCCGCCTGCCCCTTCCCCCCCTCCCCGCACGTGGAGTGCTTCGCGGCGCTCCATTCCGCGATGCCCGCCTGAGCGGGCGGCGAGGACTGCTTCGTCTTCGTGGTCGGGGGGTCTGGTCTCCTCAGGTGGAGGCCAGGCCCCCCGCGGGTAAGCCAGGATCGAGGGACCTCCCCCTTCTTCCTTTGGTCAGTGCGCAGGAGGAGGAGGAGGAGGAGGAAGAGGAGGAGGAGGAGGAGGAGGAGGAGGAGGAGGAGGAGGGAGGAGGAGGAGGAGGAGGAGGAGGTTGGTAGCAGGAGGAGGAGAGGAAAAGAGGAAGGAGGAGGAGGAGGAGGAGGAGGAGGAAGGAAGAGGAGGAGGAGGATGATGAGCAGGGGAGGAGAGGAGCAGGAGGAGGAGGAGGAGGAGGAGGAGGAGGAGGATGGGAGGAGGAGGAGGAGGAGGAGCAGGAGGAAGAGGAGGAGGAGGAGCAGCAGGAGCCAGGAGGAGGAGGAGGAGGAGGAGGAGGAGGAGGAGGACAAAGGCGGCCAGGAACGGCCGGCAGAGGTTCGTTCCCCCCCGGTCTGGGTCGGGGGCTGCGGCTCGCAGGCGGGGGTGTTTCAATCTCATTTGCACATTGAGCAGCCGTTCGAGAGGCCCCAGGGGTTCCACCACACTTACGCCTCTGTCATTTGGACACTTCCGGAGATGCTGGGCCCATTCAGGTGTGGCCGAAGGTGTGACCAACGTCGAGCATCGCATGGGTTTCGAACCAGATATTTAGGCCACGCTCGGGCGCACTCGAAACACATCGGGCGCGCGGTTTCGGTCGCACTCGCGCAGGCTTTACGGGATAGTGTCGGTCACTGCAGCCCCCTGATAGAGTCGAGGCTACATGACAAGTTTCAGGGGCAACGTCAGGGTGGGATGCGCCGACTTCTTGGTTTCGGGATGTTCTCCAGCAGCTGCGCCTCGCCGAGAGACGTCCGCGGGTGCCAGGATCATCCCGAACGGCGAACCAGCCGCTGGAGATCCGAATGATGGCCCGAAAACCCGACGACGAGGATCAGTGGCTCCGGGGGGAATGCATTGACCCGCTATCGCCTACTCTGGGTTTCTAAACAAGCGTGGGGGGGTACCCCCCCTGACGGGGGTCGACCTCGTCTCGTCGTCGCGCCGCGACGGGGGTCGGAGCGCCTCCGGCGCGCGGTGGCTGCCCGCGACGCGGGTCGATGTGGAGCTGTCGGCGGGGGTGACGCCCCCCCGACGCTTACTATCGATCCCTCGGCGACGTGTCGCCGACTCGGGCTCGAGGTGCTCCCCCTCTTCGCGGCCACGTGCCCCCCCTCTGCCGGCCCCCCTCCGCAAGAAAGCGGGTCGGTGCCTCCCCTCCTCAGCCACGCGCAGAGGGGGGTGGGGGTAGGGCGTAGGGCTTCTTCGAAGCACCTCTGCCCCTTAGAAGGCGCGGTCCTCTTCTGTAGATGTAAGCGGCCTCCTGAGCAGCCTTCTGAGAAGCAGCCTCCTGAGAAGCCTCCCGAGCAGCCTCCATGTCCGCCGCCTCCTGAGGAGCAGCCTACTGAGGAGCCCTCCCCCCAGCCCTCCCCCCCCCCTTTGCGCGCGCCGCCAACCTCCTCCGGGGGCCAGTGCGGCGCTGGCGCCGCGCGGGCGAGGGGCGGGTCGAGGGGCACGGGCCCGGGAGGTCCTTCGCTGCCCAGGGTGAGGTCGGGCGCGCCCCTCTTGCAGGAGGGGTTCTCAAAGATAGGCAAACCTAGAGTCAGGGAGCGATTTTCTGTGCAATTATTTTGGATGTGGTATTCTTGGATCATTTTTCATCTTTCCTCCAAAGTCCGCCTGTAGGGGGGCACGCCCGACCTAAGCCCAGGGGCTCTTGCGGCCCTCAAAGGGCCCCGGGAGGGGGGCCGTCAGAGAGCCACTCGGGAGGAGGGGCCTGTCCGGGGGGGGGGGAGGCCTCGGGCTTTTGGGCCCGTTTGCACCTCGGGAGCCATGGCTTTCACGGCGAACTTCGCGGGCGGATTGCTTTCGTCAATGCCAGTTTTTTTTTTCTCTCGTTGGGGCATTTTGGGCACGTACTTGCGCCCCGGAAAATCAAGCGGCGGCTCGGAAGTCCCCTGGCCTTCTGAGAAGTTTTCTAAGCCTTTCCCGAATACGAGCAAAACTTCTCAGAAGGCGCGAGGGTTTCTGAGAAGTCCCGCCGCCTTCAGAGAAGGCCTTCTCCTTCTCACTTCCCCCCCTCGCTCGCCGCCAAATCAAAGATGGCCCCAGGGCGAAAAGTTGTCCCAGTGGAAGGTCGGGGCCTGCGCGGCCCACAGACGCGGAGGAGAGGAGGGTGCAGGGAGGAGGGGACGGGGGAATTGGAAAGGGTGCTCTCACACTACTTCCCCTCAGTCCCCGTCCCACCCCCTGCCCATCCTCCCTCCCCATCGTTGTCGTCCTCCTCCTCCTCCTCCTCCTCCCTTCCTCGCTCCTCATCGTCGTCGCTCTCTTCCTCCTGCTCCTTACCTTCATCCCTCCTGCCTCCTCTTCATTCTCTGCGGGCTCTTTCTCCTTCATCCTTACATCCTCCGTCCTCACGCCTCCTTCCCCTCTCAGTCCTCTCCCACATTTACTCATCGTCCTCATTTTCCTTCCCTTCCTCTGCCCTCCTCCTCCTCCTTTTCCTCCTCCTCTTCCTCTGCCCTCCTCCTCCTCCTTCGTTTCCTCCTCCTCCTCCTCCTCCTTCTCCTCCTCCCCCCCCCTCCTCCTCCTCCTCCTCCTCCCCCTCCTCTCGCTCGCTGTGTTGCTCCCGTTGTTCTCCTTCTTCTCCTCGCCTGAATCCTTGTTCATTGTGGTTCATATTTCTTCCTCTTCTTTCTATTCTTCGTCTTCTTCTTCTTCATCCTCCTCATCATCTTCCTTTGCTCTCGTTCTCTTCGCCTCTTAATTTCTTCCCCTTCCTCCTGCTGCTCCCCCCTCCCTTCCCCTCTCCTCCCTCCCTCCCTCCCTCCCCGTCCCTCCTCCCTCCCCTCGCCTCCCCTCCCCTCCACCCCACTCCATTCCACTCCTCTCCACTCCACTCCACTCCACTACACTCCCTTTCCCCCCTCTATCCGCCCCTTCCGCCCCCGCCCCTCACACGAAGTCTCGTCTTGGGACCAGGCGCGCCTTCCTCCCCCTCCCCCAACCGCCAACATGCGGACGCTGCCCACGCAGACAACAGGAGGAGGAGGAGGAGGAGGAGGAGGAGGAGGAGGAAAAGGAGGAGGAGGAGGAAAAGGAGGAGGAGGAGGAGGAGGAGGAGGAGGAGGAGGAGGAGGAGCAGGAGGAGGAAAAGGAAAAGGAAAAGGAGGAGGAGGAGGAGGAGGAGGAGGAGGAGGAGGAGGAGGAGGAGGAGAGGGTGGACGCGGAGAACCCCTCCTCTGAGCCGCCGCCCGGCGCCTTTCCCGAGCATGATGCGCTGCGTCTGGGGGGACCTCGAGCACCTGGGGCGCCGGGGCCTCGGGCCGGCCTGCCGCTGCTGATGCTCTGCGGCGGCCCTGCGCCGCCACCCCAGCTGCGAGGGGTGCGTGGCCTGCTGCCCGGCACCGGCGGGGGCCACCGCTTGTCCTCGCCGAGGGTTGGGGCGAGGGCCTCTCGAAGATTGTGTCAGGCCTGTCCATCTACAGGAGGAAAACTTGTTGCAGTGTTTGAGTATTTTGTTGCAGTGTGTGAGCATGTGGATCATTTCTTCATGATGTTTTCTAGAAAATCGGCCTGCAGGGGGACAGGCCCGACCTAACTCGAAGAAGAGGAACTGGATAAACATTAACTTTCGGAGGTCCGCGCGGATCCAGGAGATCCGCGCGGACCTCCAAACACTTATGTTTGTACCGCTTTTGTCCCGGTAGGTCGTGGTCCAGGGAGCGTCTCGAGCTCTGTCGCCAGGTATCGTGGCCTCCCGAGCGCGGAACCATACACCGCTTTTTTGATGGATCGTGCGATCGTGCATTTGTGAGGTGGGAGGTGTGGTGGGGTGGGCCACCCGCGAGCGTCGATGCCGTCCGCGATCCGACTCGGTGCGCGGGTCCTGAGGCGGGAGTCCTGATTTTGGGGGTCTAGAAGGGAAGGGGACGTTCGCGGAAGCGTTGGCATTTACCCTGCGGCTTTGACCCAGGAGCCCGAGAGGGCCCGCAGTTTTGACCCCGAGAAGGAGGATGAGGAGGAGGTGGAGGAAGAGGTGGAGGTGGAGGAGGAGGAGGAGGAGGAGGAGGAGGAGGATGGCTACGTCTGAACGTCATTGCAGCCGTCAGTGCCTCAGTTCCTCTGGATGATGATCATGATGATGATGATGATGATGATGATGATGATGATGATGATGATGATGATGATGATGATGATGATGATGATGATGATGACGATGATGCTGCTGATGCTGCTGCTGATGCTGATGCTGATGCTGATGCTGATGATTGCGATGATGCTTCTGATGATGACGCTTCTGATGATGATGGTGATGATGAGGATGATGGTGATGGTGGTGATGATGATGATGATGATGAGGAGGAGGAGGAGGAGGAGGATGATGATGATGATGATGATGATGATGATGATGATGATGATGAGGAAAGGGAGGAGGAGGAGGAGGAGGAAGAGGAGGAGGAGAACCAGTGGAATCCCCAGACTCATCAACGATATTGCAATAAAACCCTCTCTCCAAGTTGAGGAGAATGCCCGTTGGAACACAAACCATTTGAATTTGTTCCAGAGCGCCATTCCTGGGACATCAACGCCGCAAACCAACTATTGCATCGTGGCGATCTTGAGACGCGCCAGAACGCCACTTGACATTCCGACACGTGCCAACACATTCTTCCTGGGGCGTGATTTCTGAGAATCCTTGAAACTTCTGCGAATTCTTAAGACGAAAGTGCGCGGCGCTAAGGCGAGAACCACATTTGTGGAAGGAAGCGCCCCCCATCCGTAATTAACTCTTTCAAACTTTTAAGGCGACTGTGCGCGGCGCGAAGGTGGGAGCTACATATCAAAACGGGCTGCCCACCCTCCGTGAAGCTCTTGCTTTTTTTGAAGATGAATGTGCGCCGCGCTAAGGCGAGAACCACGTTCTGGAAACGTGCCGCCCTCCATCCGTGTTTTCTTGCATTTTTAGAGGAATGCGCGCCGAGCTAAAGCGAGAGCCACATTTTGAAAACGGACCGTCCTCCATCCGCGAAACTGTTGCACAATTTTTAAGACGGGTGCGCGCGGCGCTAAGGCGAGAGCCACATTTTGCAAACGGACCGCCATGCAAATTCTCAAGCTTCAGGATCATACATGGTGAGGAAGTCTCAGGCGAAACGCCCGGGCCGCCCTTTCGACCAGAGGCGGAGGAGCGCAACGACGACGACGACGACGACGACGACGACGACGACGACGACGACGACGACGACGACGACGACGACGACGACGACGACGACGACGACGACGACGACGACGACGACGAGGACGACGAGGGCGCCCAAGGCCCGGGCTGGGCTGGCGACCGCCGGGCCACGCTGCAGCGCTGGCGGAGGACTGCCCGAGGGGGGGGGGCGCCCGGGGCACCCCGAGCCGATGCGATCCGGATGGGTACGGGAAAACGGGTGTTTGAGGAGGAGGAGGAGGAGGAGGAGGAGGAGGAGGAGGAGGAGGAGGAGGAGGGGGAGGGGGAGGGGGAGACGGAGGAGGAGGAGGAGGAGGATGAGGAGGAGGAGGTTTTCACAGTCTCTGCCGCCTCGGGATGCTCTCCAGCAGCTGCGCCTCGCCGAGAGGCGTCCCGGGGGTGCCGGGATCGTCCCGGCCATGACTCGACGTGTGGCCCGAAAGCCAGACGACGAGGATCATTGGCTCAGGGACGTATCGACCCCCCCCCCCTTGCTCACTGCTCTTGAGTCGGGCCTGCCCATGTACAGGAGGAAGATTCAAAATTAGTCTAACAGATGTCTGGGGACGATTTTGTGACCATTTCTGATCACTTTTGGACATTTTCGACTACTTAAGATTTATTCGTCCGGAATCCGCCTGTAGGGGGGACGCGACCGACCTAATACTGACCGCCAGTAGGGGCCCTACAGCGCATCCTGCCCAGGAGCGTGGGGGTTCTCTCCATCGGGGGCCCATCGCCGATCTCTCGGCGACGTGTCGCCGGTGCAAGCTCGGTATGTCTCCCCCCCCCCTCCACGGGTCCTTCCCCGTCGTGCCCGCTCGGAGCCTGGTGGATGCTCGGTGCAATCGAAGCGGGCATGGATCAGGGGAGGGGAAACCGCCCCGACCCCGACAATTGGCGTTTACTGAACGGCCCTGGGCGTTGGCTAAACAGTCCTGCCCCGTTCGACTCATTCCTCGTGTGTGCGCTTTCTAAACGGCCCTGCCCTGTTCGGTTCCTTCTCCTTGGATGCGTTTGCGAAGCGGCTTCGCTCGTCGGGGTTGTTCATCATGGGGGTGGATCTTCTGCTCTCTCATGGAGTGAGTGGGGACGAAGACCGGCAGCGGTTCTCTGCCCACTCCGAGCAGGAAATGCACCGTGGGCGTCGCCGCGGGCCGTGTCCGGTGGAGACTAAGAGTCGCGTGCTCCACAGCGGCCGCCCCGTCGGATTTTGACAACAGTTTGCTATATTTGAGTCTGGAGGTAGTTACAGCATCTGGTCACGCCAGGGCTCCTCGAGCTTGCAGGTCACAAGGAAGGGTCGTATCCGTTTCGGCTGGAGACCTATCCTATATACTACTACTTCTCGTTTTTTTTTTTTTTTCTTCCCCCTCTCTCTCTCTCTCTCTCTCTCTCTCTCTCTCTCCCCCAAACATTCTCCTGATAGTCTGTGCTTCGAGGCAGTGGTATTGCTACGGGCTGCGACGCCCGGCCCGAGGCGGGATGGCCCTCGAGCCTCCCCGTCCCCACCGCTGCCTCCCTCCTCCTCTCTTCGCTGCCTCGGCCCCGCTCGGGGCGGCAGCGAAGTTCCATCGGGCCGGGCGAAAGGGGGGGATTGGGAAAGGGGGGGTTACGAAATTTGCTGCATAGGAGCTCGGTTCGGCCTCACCGAGGGGCCCATTTCTCGATACATAGCTCCATCCGGCGCCGGGAGGCGCCGGGAAAATCAGCTACGTGAGCTGATTCTCAAACCCCCCCTTTGCTATCCCCCCCTTTCGCCCGACCCGATTCCAATGGTCCACGCTCCCTCCCAGACACGCTCCATCCTCCCACTGCCGTCGTTTGCTCCCAGACTCGTCCTCGCCTTGGCCTCCTGTCGCGGCCCCTGGGGACGAGGCCAGGGAGCGAGCACGGGCGACGCGGCATCGGTAACCCTGCCGTGTCTTGTGGGGAAGATCCTCGGGAGGCTTTTCCGAGGGGGGTTGTCCTGGGAGGTTGTCCCGATCCCCGCCGAGTTGGCCAAGGGGTTGCCTGGGGTAGGTCGTGCTGCCGCCATTCGTCCGCACGGGTTGTCCGGGTTGTCCCGGGGGGGTGTCTGGGGATTCTTTTCTGTATCGGCGTGTTTCTCCACTGAATAGGGTATCTAGACACCGCGAAGATGCGGGCAACGAGATCTATACGTATTGACTGCCCCAGGCCTGGGGCAGTGGATATTCCCCAACCAGTGCTTGCACCGAAAGGGTCCCAGCGGAAATTCCCCAATCAGTGCTTGCACTGAAGGGGTCCTAGCGGAAATGGAAAGATTCTGCGCAAGTTTCCCGGCGATTTTGGTGGCCGGTTGGGTTCCCGGATTCCCGGTTCCGGTTTTCCAGGTTCCTGGTTATTGGTTCCGGGCCGACTTCGGTGGGTTCCGGGTTCCCGGGTTCCCGGTCGATCTCCTTATCGATCATCTCACCTTTTGATTGGGGTTGTTCTTTGGTGTACACCCTGGGCGATGCTTAAGAAAGCCCAAATTTTCGGCCAGAGTCTCGATTATTCTTAACGTTTCAATGTAAATCCTAAGATTTTAATAGGAATATTGGGTTTTTATTCAAGTTCTGAGACTATGAATTTCTTAACCCATGATTTCTTAAGCATTTCGCAGGGTGTAATGTATAGATCTCGTCGCCCCAAAGATGGCCTCCCTCGCTGCCGCCCGTCAGAACAAGACTGCCGTTGGGCACTGCCCACTCGTTCCGTGCCCGCTCTCCGGGCGCGCCCTTGGGCCCCCCCCTCTCCTCCCATCCTCCTTCCCCCTCCTCCCCCTCCTCCTCCTCCTCCTCCTCCTCCTCCTTCCCCCTCCCCCTCTTCGTCTCCTCTTCCTCCCCCTCCTCTTCCTCCTCCCCCGCCTCCCCTTCTCCTCCTCCTCCTCCTCTCCGCCTCCTCCTCCCCCTCATACTCCCCCTCCTCTTCTTCCTCCTCCTCCTCCTACCTCTCCAGTCCTTCCCCTTCCTCTCCCTACCTCTCCTCCTCCTGAGCTCCTCCTCTTTCTCTTCTCCTCCTCCTCCTCTTCTTCTCTATCCTCTACCCTCTAACTCCCCTCCCCCTCCTCCTCCTCCTCCTCCTCCTCCTCCTCCTCCTCCTCCTCCTTCTCCTCCCTCTCCCACTCCTGCCTCTCCTCCTCCTCCTCCTCCTCTCCTACCTATGGTCGTGGTGGTGGAGAATCGGCTCATCCTCCGACGCGGGCTTTTTTTTGGGGGCGTTGCCTAGGCCCCAGGCGCTCTTCTCGCAGGCGACTTGCGGTCTGACAGAGGCACAAGATCGAGGTCGGTTCGGGGAGGGTGCCCTAACGTTCTGCGTGTTTGTTGGATGTTTTTGTGCATTCTGGGGGGAGCACCCTCGAATGTTCTTCGGTTTGGCCAGCGGGGGGTCTCATGCTCTTGAAGGATGGAATTCTGTCCTAGGTCCGGCCTTGTTGGCTCAGAGGAGAAAATTGTACTGATACCGTAACTCTTCTATCGTCTTCCCATTTTCGGGCCTCTCCTGGGAGTTCCTCGTCGCCACGGCTGGATTCGCCCTGAGATCCTGGTCAGAAGGCGCCCCGGGAGAGGCCTGGGGAGTAGCGGTATCGGTCCTTGTTGGTTGTGACCCATACTCCCCGAGCTCCGCCCGTAGAGTGAGGCCGCCTAGGACAAGGGGGGGAACTCGGGGATGCACCCCAGGAGTCTATTCATGACGCGCCCCTGTCGAGGACGGACGCCCCCCCTTCGTTCATCGCGAGGCCTACAGAGCCAGGGACTGGGGCCAGCATGTCCCCGGGCCCTAGTCCTTCTCGATCTCGGCCCCGTTGGGACCCCGTCGGGCTCTGGGGCCATCACAGAGCCATCCGTGGCGAAAGACTGTCGGGGGCCCCCAAACGGAGTGGTGACCACAACGTGTGGTGGGTCGGTGGGGAATCGGGGTCACCGCACGGTTTTGGGACTCGGGTCCCTCTCCGAGGACGTCTGGGGCGACATGGGGCCTCCGGGGTCCCAAGACCGTGCGGTGACGGACCGTGCGGTGAGGTCTTGGGGGATTTCAAGGTCACCGCACCGTTTCGGGACTCCAAAATGGACGCCCCCCCTTCGTACGTCGCCGATCTTGGGCCCGAATGTCTGCTCTGTTTGAAAGGCATACAAAGCCAGGGGCTGGGGCCGGCATGCCCCCCTTGTCCTTCTCGATCTCGGCCCCCCCCTCCTCCTCCTCCTCCTCCTCCTCCTCCTCCTCCTCCTCCTCCTCCTCCTCCTCCTCCTCCTCCTCCTCCTCGGTCCGTGGCGACAGGCCGTCCCCAGGGGAGGGCTCGGGACCTCCCTGGCGCCGCGCGCTGGCGCGAAGCACGCCGTCGGATGTCCAGACGTCGAGCGCCGTCGTGCGGGGCGCCGCCGGTCCCTCGCGCGTCGGGCGTCTGCGCGCGGCCTCTCGCGGCCCCCCGTTTTTTTTTTTTTTTTTTTTTTTTTTTTTTTTTTTTTTTTTTAATTTTTTTTTTAAAAACATATTTTTTTATATATATATATATATAAAAACAAAAAACAAAATTTGAAATTGTTTTGAATATGTTGGACATTTTTTATTTTTGTCCCAGGGGACATGCCCGACCTAAGTTTCTTTGGCTCGGCTTTTTTTTTTTCTTTTTTTTTTTTTTTTTCTTTTTTTTTACTTTTTTTCTATTTTTTTTTTTTTTCTTTTTTTTTTTTTTTTTTTATTTTTTTTTTTTTTTTTTTTTTGTTTTTATGTCTACCGTTTTTTTTTTTTCTTCATTTTTATTCTTTTTCTTCTTTTTTTTTTTTTTTTTTTATTTTTCTTTCTTTTCTCTTTTTCTTATTGTTTTTCTTTTTTATTTTTTTTTTTTTTTTTTCTTTTTTTTTTTTTCTTCCTTTTTTTTTTTTTCGTGTTTTTTTTTTTTTTGTTTCTTTTTTTTTTTTTTCTTTTTTTTTTTTTTTTTTTTTTTTTTTTTTGTATTTTTTTTTTTTTTCTTTTTTTTTTTGCTTTTTTTTATTTTTTGTGTTCTCAACGTTGTGTCTGATGGCGCTTTTGCTCGTGCGCGTCATCGGATCTCAGGGCTCTGTGTGCTCGCTTACTTTGTTTCGTGGCGAACGAACGACCCGCACCCATAACCCGCATGGGGGACGGCAGGGGGCTGTGGGTGCGTGTAGTCGGAGGGGGTCCTCGTTCGAACGGGAGCCTCCCCCGGGTCCGACAACCCGCACCCTCCTCCCTCCGACCCTCCTATGGGTATGGGTGTGTGCTGTTCCTTCGTCATTATGCGCCACCGTTCCGTTCGGGAGGCCAGAGGGCCAGCGTGCAAAAAGCGCGCCCGTCGCCCGCAGAGGTTGGCCTCCCATCTCTGGAGGGGCGGCGGCAGGTGTTGCTGAACCTGTGGTATTCGGGCAGTGCGATTCACGTCAATGTTTAAATCAACCCACATAGTGAGGATGAGCAACTTCCAACGGTTGCCCCTGCATCGTTCCCCTTCGGCCCATCCTTGGCCGCTTCCGCTGGCCGCGCCCCGCTCGCAATGACTCGACATGACCCTCCAAGGCCCTTGCATCCTTATCGGGCGTCCTTATTATACGGGTTGACTGTGTGGCTGATTTTGTTTGTCAGGGATGTTCCGTTCTCTGTTTCTTTCCTTTGCCATAGTCTTCTTGTTCCCGTCCTCTCTTTGTGTTCCGCCGTTTCTTCTCTTCTCTCATCTTCCTCTCTGCCGTCCCTTCTCCCTCCTGCTGCTCTTCTTTTTCAGCTGGAGCAGTTCGTATCATCTTGCACTCTGGGGGAACAGAGTCGATCAGACGGGACTGGGGAGGAGGAGAGAGATAAGGTGGGGGGAGGAGATCAAGGACGACGAGAAGAAGTAAGGATTATGTTGTTGGTGACGGCATTGGCTGCGATGGCGATGATGTTGGTGGCGATGCAGTTGAGGATTAGATGGAGGATGAGGAGAGTGAGGAAGAGGAAGGACGATATGAGGGGGTTGCAGAGGAGGAGCAACAAGAGGAGGGAGGATGACGGCAAACATGAGGTGGATGACTGAGTATGCGGAGGTTGGACGGATGTTGATGATGGTGGTGGCCATGGTGGTTGAGAGGGGGAGTTGGAGGAGGAGGAGGAGGAGGAGGAGGAGGAGGGGGAGGAGGAGTTGGAGGAAGTGGAGCGGGAGGAATCGAGAGGAGATGCGGGGCAGGGGGAAGCAGAGGTCAGGGACAGGCGGAGGTGCACGGGCGACAGGAAAAAGGGGTCAGGAGTGGGGCAGTCTAGTCAGTTACTCCTCGTCCTCCTCTGTGTTCCCCCGCTGCTCGGCTACCGCTCCTCTTTCTCGTCGTCGTCGTCGTCGTCGTCGCCGTCGCCGTCCTCCTCCTCCTCCTCCTCCTCCTCCTCCTCCTCCTCCTCCGCCTCCCCCCTTCCCCCTAGAGCCTCCGTAACTCCTTCGACTCCCCAGAACTCCCAGCGCAGAGCTCCTCTTCCTCCCCCTCCTTCCTCCCCCCCACCCCCTTCTCCTCTGGTGTGTCAATTTGTGTTTGCGGGTGCCAGCTATCGTTCTCTCGGGCCTCTCGCAGGCCCCAGACTCCCTCCTTGGCTGGCCCTGGACATCTGCTGACCAGGCTTGCCCTCGTGCTCCCCTGCGGGGAGGGAGTGGGGAGGGGAGGGGCAGGGGCATGGGGGGTGGTAGGGAGAGGGGGGAGGGCCCAGTCGGGCGCAGACTCCCGAAGCCATGGTCTTTTTGTTCGCCCTCTTCCCGGGGGCCCCGCCCTTCGCCCGGGATCGCTTCTTGGTGGCCCTCCCCCCCTCGGGCGGGCCCCCAGGACATGCTCGGGCAGGCCCAGGTGAGGGAAGTCGTTCCAGATCGTCCCCGTGAGCACTCCGATGTTCGCGATTTCTTCGTGCTGGTTTTCCTCTTCCTGCGGCCGCGGCTCCGGCTGCGGTCGCGGTCGCGGCTCGCAGTGGCGACGGAACCCCGAGCATTTCTCCGAGGCGCGACCGCGCGGCGAGCGGATTCTCTCAGAGACCTCTGCGATGCATGCCTTCGTCTGGCGTCGGCTTGCCGCCCCCTGCGAGGACCAGGCTGCCCGACGGAAGGACGCGCTGGGCATACCTGCAGGGCGACCTCGCCACCAGGCACGCGGACGGATCCTACTCGTTCCACGGCCGCTCGGACGAGGTGCCTCCTCCGCCCTCCTCCTCCCGCGCCTCCTCGTCCGCCTCCTCCCCCTCCTCTCTGCAAATCTCCTCCTTCTCCCCTTCCGCCTGTTTCCTCTCCTTTCTCCTCCTGCAATCTCCTCTTCTTCCTCCTCCTCCTCCATCTCCTTGCTTTTCTCCTCCTGCTCCTCCCTTCTCGTCCTTCTTGTTCCCTCCTCAGCTCCCTCCTTTCCTGCTCCTCACCTCTTCTCCTCCTCTTCCTCTTCATCGCCCTCCCTCCTTCTCCGCCGTTGCGTCGAGGTACTCAATGTGAGCGGCCTGCTCTACGGCACAGAGCACATAGAGGGCGCCATCCTCCGCGACAGGCTGCTCGACCCGCTCTCTAGGGTGGGCGACTGTGCCGTGGTCGGCTTCCCGGACTACGTCGCCGGTGAATGGGTCGGCCGTTACGTAATGGGAGGCGGTATACGGGGGGAGAAGACAGGTGAACATTTGGTGCACCTTTGAGGCCCAAAAGAGTGGTAGCAGGATCAATAAGTTAGTTCCGAGGGTTGAATAGTTATCGGAGGGTGTGCTATTTTCTGAGGGTTCAATAAATGAAGCCAGTATGAACCCCAAACTGTGCGTTTCTAGCAATCAATGCTGTGCAACCACTGTGGAGCAATCTGTGTGGTGCAATCTAGGTGGTGCAACGTATTCGGTGTAAGCTATGTGGTGTAATCTATGTGGTGCGATCTATGTTGTTCAATCTAGGTGGTGCAATGCAGGTCGTGCAATCTATCAAGGGGTACACTTTAGTTGGTGCAGAATGTGTGGTGCAATCTATGTTTTGCAATCTATGTGGTACAATCTATATGATGCAATCTATGCGGTGCAACCCATGCATTGCAATATATGTGATGGTGCAATCTATGTGGTGCGATCTACGTTGTTCAATCGAAGTGGTGTGATCCATTGGGAGCGGTCAATGTTGTGCAATCCATCTTGTGCACTCTATGTAGTGCGATCTATGTTATGCAATTGATGTGGTGTGCTCTATGGTGTGCAGTGTATGTCGTGCAATACGTGTTGTGCAATGTGTATGTGGTGCAATATTCGTGGTGCAATGTATGTGGTGCAAACCATTCGGTGCAACCTATGTGGTGCAATATGGGATGCGATCTATGTGGTGCAAACTATGTGGTGCAATCTTTGGGATGCAATCTATGTGGTCTAGTATGTGGGGTGCGATCTATGTTGTGCAATATATGTGGTGCGATCTACGTTGTGAAAACCATGGGGTGCAATACATGTGGTGTAATCTATATGTAATGCAATCAATGCGGTGCAATCCATGTGGTACAATGTATGCGGTGCAACATATGTGGTGCAATCTACGCGGGGCAATGTATTTGATGCGATCTATGTTGTGCAATCTATGTGGTGTAGCATGTGTCGTACGATCTATGTTGTGCAATGTGGGTGGTGCGATCTATTGGGAACGACCGATGATTTGCAATCTAAGTTGTACAATCTATTTTGTGCTCTCTATCTTGTGCAATCTGAATGGTGCAATCTATGGTGTGCAATCTATCCCGTGTAGTATATGTTGTGCAACCTATGTGGTGCAGTGAATGTGGTGCACTCCACAACTATATATATATGTATGGTATGTGTGTTGTGCGATTTATGTTGTACAATCTACGTGGTGCAACCGTTGTGGTCCAATATCAGCTGTGCAATCTATGTGGTGCAATCTATGTTGTGCAATCCATGCGCTGCAATCTATGTTGTTCAATCTACGTGGTGCAATCTATGTGGTGCAATACCTCTTGTGCAACCCATGCGCTGCAATCTATGTTGTGCAACCTATACGGCGGCAACGTAGCCGCCAGACCGACCGCAAGGCCCAGACGATGGTCGGCAACGAGACGGCGACGGAGCGGCGACGGCGGCAACATGGCCGACAGTCAGGGCCAGTTCCGTATTCCACAAGAAAGAACCCCTAAGTGCAAGCACCGTTCTGGGAATGAAGTGAAGCGGTCGGTTGGTAGGGGGGTCGGTTGCCCGGTTGCCCGGTTGGTCGGTCGGTTCGTTGGGTGGTTGGTTGGCCGGTTGGTTGGTTGCCCGGTCGGTCGGTCGGTCGGTCGGTTGGTTGGTTGGTTGATTGGTTGGTTGGTTGTTTGGTGGGTTGGTTGTTCGGTTGGTTCGTTGGTTTGGCCGTTGGTTGGGGGTTGGTTGGTTGGTTGGTTGGTCAGTTGGTTGGTTAGCCAATCGGTTGATCGGTCGGTGGGTCGGGTGGATGGCGGCGGGCACGGCGCGGCACGTCACGGTGTTGCTGGTTGGCTGGTTTTCTAGGTTGCCCGGTGGACTGATGGGTTGATTGGTTGTTTGGGTGGTTGGTTGGTTGGCCTGTTCCATCCAACTCCTCGCATGGCAAGGCAAGAGGACCGAAACACATGGTATTTCACTGTTCTCGTTACGTGGGAGCGCCTGGGGGTGAGACATACCATTCGATTGCGATCGCTGCATGGCAACGCAGCGGGGCGGATTTTTGTTTTTCGCCGCGCGGCGCCCCCGCAGGGCCAAGTGGCAACGCAGCGGGATGGAGGCAGTACCGTTCCGCTCCTTGCTCGTCGCGTGGCGGGGCGGGAAGAATACCGCACCCATGCTACTCGTCAGGTGGCAAGGCCTGAGGGGCGAAACATGCTACTCTATAGTACTCGCCACCTTGCAACGCAGCGGGGCGAGTAAACTCCTGGTCTGCTATACTCGTCACGTGGCAACGCCCAGGGGCGGACAAACATAACAGTCCACTCTACACGCCGGTCGTCGAAACTAGGTATTTCTGCATGCCCAAATCCTGATCTTCTTCAGGCGCCCTCCCACTTCACGAGTCGAGCGGTTGTCTCTCTTCCCTCCCCTTCACGGGGCGGGCGGAAGCCCAATCTGCTTCCAACGCCTTCCCACTTCATGTTTCTACCCATCCGCGACAACCTCAACTCAACAACATGAACGATTTGTGGTGGTTATCTGCGGCCGGGAACTCCGAGTGGTGGTTATCATTTGAGTCTGCCTACGTATCACACTTTCCCAGAAAGGACAGGCCCAGGGTTCGCTTGCAGCTGTTTCCCCCGTCACCAGCCTCGACTTGCGTAGGGCTGGCGACAATATTTTGCGATAGATAACGAGGTCGCTTAGGGCGGGCGAGCGGGCGAATCAAAAAGTTGAGGATGCCCCAAGCGAAACGCTGGTTTTTGAAATTCCGATCGATAAAACATGGTGTATACATTTTCGTTTGTTGTGGATGTCTCGAGCGAAACTCTTGTTTTGTGTTACATATAGCTCCTCTCCTGGGTATCAGCATTCAGAGGATGTCTCAGGTAAAATGCTTGTTTTCACGTGTCCAGGTCTTGAGGATGTTTCGAGCGAGACGGTTGGATTCACGTGTCCAGGTTGCCCAGGCAGATGTCTAGCATGAGTATTCGTTGAGGATGTCTCTAGCGAGACGCTTGTTTTCACGCGTCCAGGTCGCCCAGGCAGATGTCTAGCATGAGGATTTGTTGAGGATGTCTCGAGCGAGACGCTTGCTCGTTTTGGTACTTTTTGCAGCCCCGGGCCACCCCGCGAGACGGTTGATTTCATGTGTCCAGGTCGCCCAGGCGGATGTCTAGCATGAGGACGTGTTGGGAACGTCTCGAGCGAGACGCTCGTTTTCACGTGCCCAGGTCGCCCAGGCGGATATCTAACATGAATATGTGCAGGACGTCTCGAGCGAAACGCTTGTTCTCACGCGTCCAGAGGACGTCTCGAGCGAGACGCTTGGTCTCACGTAACCAGGTCGCACAGGCAGATGTCCAGCATGGGGATCTGTTGAGGATGTCTCGAGCGAGACGCTTGTTTTTGACGTGTCCAGGTCGCCCAGGCGGATGCCTAACATGATGATTTGTTGAGGACGTCTCGAGCGAAACGCCTGCCCGTCCGTGGGGCGTCCCCTGGCGCGACGTTCTTGCGCGACGAGCCCTGGCACGCCCCCTGGCACGCCACTTGGCGTGGCACGCTCCCTGGCCCGTCCTCTGTTGCGTCTCTGGGCTCGGCCCCAGGCGTTTCCCCGGCCCGATCCGTGGCGCGCCCTCTGCAGCGTCCCTCGGCATGACGTCCTCGCCTCTGGCCGCCCCACTGCACGCGCCTTGGCACGTGCCGTGGCAGGTGCCTGAAACACCTCCAGGGCACGTCCCCGGATACGTCCCCTAACACGCCCCCTCCTCCTCCTCCTCCTCCTCCTCCTCCTCCTCCTCCTCCTCCTCCTCCTCCTCCTCCTCCTCCTCCTCCTATTGCGCCCCTGGAGCATCCTGTGGCGCGTCCGTGAGCCTGTGCCCCGTGTCGTGTCGTTCCTTCTCGGAGCCGGGTCGGATGTTGAGCTCGAGCTGATCGAACGTCCCGCACGTTTCCACTTCAACTGGCTCTAGGGCAGCTATTCTCATGTGCTCAGGCAGCTCGAGGTTGAGATCCAGATCAGTTCGGTCTAGACTCGGATGCACAGGAGGACTCGATCCACAACGCAATAGAGCACAATCGCGGCATGGCACATCGCGATTCGGCGCGGCGCAGCACAGGACAGCTCTTGGCACGGTACAGCAAGATCAGCACGCTCAGCACTGCAGTTGCCCGTCGCCCGATCAGGTGTCTTGAAAGCGTTGCCATGCCTCACGTCTCTGTGTATTCCTCTCAGGGCCCCGTGGGGGTCGATCGTGCTCGAGGCCAGGGCTCCCGCGCCGTGCCCGAACAACGGGCGCGGGCGGGCTCCCCGGAGGAGCGCGCACGACTCCAGCGGGTTGTCTGCGCCTTCGCCTTCATTCGGTGGCCACGCGTGGGCCCTACCCCCCCCCCCTCCTCCCCCCCCTCCTCCTTCTCCTCCTCCTCCTCCTCCTCCTCCTCCTCCTCGAACAAATTGATGGAACCCTCCGCCGGCGGCGGACGCCCAGACCTCGAACCAGCGTCCGTGGGGCGAGTTTTCGCACACCCCGCACGCGGATCGCGCTCCGGCGGCGGGAAACAAGATCAGTGAGCCTTCAGCAGAAGTTCAAGGGTAGATGTTTGGAGACGTGAATTGGCCGTCGTCGGTTCTCGAGAGGGCGTCGCGGCCGTCATTTTTGCGGGTCCAGATCCGTCGGTTTCGGTCCCAGGCCGTTTTCACTAAAGGGTGGTCTACTGAGGGAGGTCTGTCCACCGCCGAAATATCCGCTTCGTTGATCCCCCATCCTTGGGGCCTAGAGTACCCCTAGGGCCCAACATGTGCCCGATCCGATTCGATTCCGATGTGCGTCAGGAGGGGAAAAATCACGCAGGCACAAGTAGTCGTCGATTCCCAGAAAATGCGGGAAGATATGGGAAACGGAGGGGAAGACGAAAATCCAAAAACTATGAGAAAATATGGGGGATCCTGAGGTTTGTGTGTATTTATTATCTGTGTGCCCCTGGGCCCCTTCGGTGCGGGCGATCCGCTGCGGCCCGATGCTCGCACGGCCTCGGTGCGCGGCCGATGCGATGGTCGATCTCGGCTCCGTGCCGGTGCTGTCCGATCAGACGCGTGCCGATCCGATCCGATCTGTGACCTTTTTGTTTTCATTCACCGTTTTGCCGATCGGCGCGGGCCCTCGCGCCCCCCCCCCCCTCCCCCCCCCCCCCCCCCCACCCCCTCCCCCCCCGCCTCCTCCTCCTCCTCCTCCTCCTCCCTTCCTCCTCCTCCTCCTCCTCCTCCTCCTCCTCCTCCTCTCTCCTCCTCCTCCTTCCTCCTCCTCCTCCTCCCCCCCGCCCGCCCACGTGGCACATCTTTGAGGCCACGGCCTCCACGCCATGCCCTCCTGGGCACGGGCGGGCTCCCCAGTGGCAGCGCGCACGATTCCGGCGTTCGCTTCGCTTCGCTTCGCCCGTGGCGTAGGAGGACGAGGAGGAGGAGGAGGAGGAGGAGGAGGAGGAGGAGGAGGAGAAGGAGGAGGAGGGAAGAGGAGGAGGAAGAAGGATGAGGAGGAGGAGGAGTGAGGAAGGAGGAGGAGGAGGAGGAGGAGGAGGAGGAGGAGGGAGGAGGAGGTTTTGGCCGTTTCTGGCTCCTGTTTCGAGCCGGTGGAGTCTCCCCCACAGGACGTGCGGTTCCAAACAGTCGCGCTGGGCAGAGGTCCGGCGCCGGACCCCCCCCCCCTTCCCCCCCCCGCGTCCGCCCACCGTCGAAACGCCGAGTAAACAGAAAGCGCTCCCTTTGCCGATTCGATGCTGACCGATCCTGCCCTCCTCCCGCGCTCCCCCTCCTCGTCTTCCTTGCTCCGCGGTGCCTTTTTCGCCCCCTGCCGCTCTCGAGCTGCCGCCGCTCCCCTTGATGTTGAATCCCCCTGCCTCGGTGCAGCGGAGGAGGAGGAGGAGGAGGAGGAGGAGGAGGAGGGGGAGGAGGAGGTGGAGGAGGAGGAAGGAGGAGGAGCCGGAGCTGTCCAGAGGGACGCACCGACGCGCCGCTTGTGTCCCACCAGGCGAGGTGCCCCTGGTCTTCCTGACGCCCAGCAGCCCCGCTGATCCGCCGGGCGCCCCAGACTTCCTGCGCCTGTACCGTCTTGTGGAGGAGCCCTTCGGGCCCGCTCCGGCTGGCACGGTCGGGAATTTTTGGACAGCGTGGCGCTCCGCCAGATTTGGCCCACCACGCTTCGGCGCGACACGCTATTCAGGAGGGAAAAAAACACACAGACACAATTAATCCTCGATTCCCAGGAAAATATGGGAAAATATGGGAATTGGGGGGGAAGACAAAAACCCAGAAAATATGGGAAAATATGGGTTCTATTTTTATTTGTGTGTATTTATTTGTGTGTCCTAATTTCCCTTTAGCTATCCTCTTCCCGGTCCCCAGGGCTCCAGGCTTCGACGCCCCGGGCCTTTCCCGGCCTCCCAGCCCGCGAGGCGGAGCGGCACGCTGTCCGCCTGCGAGGCGCAGCGTGTCGCCAGGGCCGCCGCAGCGACACGCTAAGGAACAGTTCCCGACCGTAAGTCGGTATCGTTTAACCAATCCCCATCCCCATCCCCATCCTCTTCGAGACCCCCACCAAATTCCCCCCCCAGTTGGGGATACACCGCTCGAAACCCGAAGGGAACGGCCTATATCCCCATCTAGGGGGGTAAATCGGCCAGTGGGGCCCAGGCCACGCCGCTGGGGATGGGGATCGGTTAAACGATACTAAGTAAGGAAGGCTTTGGGTTGCACACGGGCCCCCCACCCCAGGTAGTCCTGGCTGGGCAACAGGCCCCCCGAGTTAGTCCAGGGCTGGCAACACCCTGGCGCCGTCTCTGACGGCCCTGGGCGCGAGTGTGGAGCGGGCCCAGAGAGCGAGTTGCACAGTTCGGCACGCCGTGCACCCCTCTGCACGCAGAAGGGGGCGGCGGATCTGGTGGCTGTTGGACCATCCCGTCAAAGCGCCCGTGTCGTGGACACGAGGCCAAATTGATACCTCTTGAGAGCCTCTTGAGGGCGCCCTGGGAGGCTCTGTCGGCCTCTTTTGAGGCCTTTGCTGGTTTGTGTCGGGGACCATTTCAGGATTGATGGGGCTCCAGATGGCACTTCAAATTCCCCCCCTTGGCTTGGGCGTATGGAGGCCTCTTTGTGCCTCCTTGGGGGCCGGCTCGGCAGATCTCGGGTTTTTTTGGGGGCCAGTCTCGACCCCCAGGACAGATTTGGATTGGGCCCCGCGATCCTCCCAGAATGTGAATTCACATTTTCCTTCTTCCCAAAATGTGAATTCACATTTTCCTTTTTCCCAACATGTGAATTCACATTCCGGCCCCTTCATAAAGAATCCTACACAAAAATCCAATATGTGAATTCACATTTTCCTTTTTCCCAAAATGTGAATTCACATTTTCCTTTTTCCCAAAATGTGAATTCACATTCTGGCCCCTTCATAAAGAATCCTGCACAAAAATCCAAACTGTGAATTCACATTTTCCTTTTTCCCAAAATGTGAATTCACATTTTCCTTTTTCCCAAAATGTGAGTTCACATTTTGCTTTTCCCCACAACGTGAATTCACATTTTGCCCTGGCCTTCAAGATCCCCAAAACTGAGGCGCAGTGTTCCGCATGTCAGATTGGCTGGGCAGATTTCGACACTCACCTGACCGCTTTCGTGCGTTCCAGCCATTTCTTTTTGCGCCCTTAGCGCGCGTTGCCTTCGTCGCCTTTCCCGAACCCCCCGCCCCCTTGCTTCCTTTCCCCTCAAGTCTCGCGCGCGGGTGCAGGCGGGGGGCTTCAATTAGTTCCCCCGCCGAACACAGCAATCGAGGATGTATCGCCCATTCATGGCCTTTCTAAACATCATTGCCGGGACCCTGCGCCCGACCCCCACTTTCACCCTCCAATTGAAGCGATCTCTGGACATCTCTCTCTTTCTCTCTCTCTCTCTCTCTTTTTCTCCTCTCTCTCTCTTTTTTTCGAGAGGGAGAGAGAGAAAGAGAGAGAGAGAGAGAGAACACGGGGCAGGCAAACCGCGTTGTTTCCAACCATCCTGGTGTTGCGCCTTCGTTTCAACAGCGCCCTGCGTCTCCCATCCTTCCTCCTTCCCCCTTCCTCCCCTCCGTGTCTCTACCTTCGCGTGCCCATCTCGTTAGACCCCTCACGTTTCGTGGCCCCGAGGGGAGCTTTACCGAAAGCCCCAGTGGAAGCGCCCGCATGCGACCCCCCGCCCATTTTGGCACCCCCATCCTACGTTGCGTGGCCCCAACGGGAGCTCCACCGAAGGTCCCAGTGGAAGCGCCCGCATGCGCCCCCCGGACAATTTCGGCACTCCCCTCGCACGCTCCGTGGCCCCACAGGGAACTCCGAGGGCCCCAGTGGTAGCGCCCGCATGCGCCCCCCCCCACCCCCGTCCAGTTTGGCGCACCCCTGACGCGCTTCCATGCCCCGAGGGGAGCTCCACCCAGGGTCCCAGTCGAGGCGCCCGCACGCGTTCCCCCGCCCAACTTTTTGGGACACCCCCCGCGCGCTCCCTGGCCTCACGGGAAGCTCCACCGACGTCCCCACAGCCAGAGGCAGCGTGCGTCCGCCCGCCCACTGTGGTACACCTCTCGCGCGCCTCGTGTCCCCATAAAGGGAGCTCCGCCGGAGTCCGCAGCGGCTGCGTGCGTTCCCCCGCCCATTTTTTGGCACACCCGTCCCACGTCGCGTGGCCCCATCGGGAGCTCCGGCGAAGGCCCCAGCGGCAGCGGCCGCGTGCGTCCTTCTGACCATTTTGGCTCCTCTCGCGCGCTTCGTGGCACGATAGGGAGTTCCCCCCAAGGCCCCAGTGGCAGAGCCTGCATGCGCCCCCCCCGCCCACCTTCGGCACATCCTTCGCGTGCTTCGTGGCCTGGTAGGGGGCTCCGTCGAAGGCCCCAGTGGCAGAGCCCGCATGCATCCCCCCGCCCATTTTTGGTGCACCCCTCGCGAATCTTGTGGCTCCATAAAGGAGCTCCCCCTCTTGCGCCCCTGCGACATATGCAGGCCTGCAACAGGACACGCCAGGAGGGGTCGAATGATGACGATTAGGAGGAGGAAGAGGAGTAGGAGGAGGAGGAGGAGGAGGAGGAGGAGGAGGAGGAGGAGGAGGAGGAGGAGGAGGAGGAGGAGGAGGAGGAGGGAGGAGGATCAGTGCAAACCCAAGACTGGGTGAGTCCTTCGCCATGGACAGTTGTTTGTCACGTGCACGCCGCGGGCCCCCCTGGCAGACAGACAGCAGTCCAACCGGAACCCTCACAGCCTGGCACCCCGAGGAGGCCCGCGGATTACACGGTGGGAGACACGAGCATGCCGATGATGGTGATGGTGGCGACGACGACGCTGGCGATGACGACGACGATGACGATGACGATGACGATGACGATAGTGATGAAGATGCTGATGCTGATGCTGCTGCTGATGATGCTGATGATGCTGATGCTGATGCTGCTGATGATGATGATGATGGTGATGATGATGATTCTGATGATGATGATGATGATGATGATGATGATGATGATGATGATGTAATGACTATGATGATTATGCGGCTGATGATGCTACTGGTGATGATGACGATGCTGATGGGACGACGACGATGGCGTTGATGATGATGCTGCTGCCGATGCTGATTATGATGATGATAATGGTGGTGGAGGTGATTATGTCGCTGCCGCTGAAAATGGCGATGATGATGCTGAGGATGATGATGCTGATGATGATGAGGAGGAGGAAGATGAGGATACTGCTGATGATGATAACGATGAGGATGATGATGATGATGATGATGCTGCTGCTGATGATGATGATGATGGTGATGGTGTGGATGCTGATGACGACGATGATGCTGATTTTGATGCTGATGATGCTGCTGCTGATGATGATGATGACGATGTCGACGACGATGATGATGATGACGATGCTGCTGCTTATGATGATGCTGCTGCTGATGATGATGATGACGATGATGACGATGCTGGTGACGATGACTACGACGACAACAACGACGATGTTGATGATGCCGATGATGCTGCTGATGATGATGCGGATGATGATGCTGATGCTACTGATGGTGATGATGCCGATGCTGCTGCTGCTGATGCTGATGATGATGACGCTGATGATGATGCTGGTGATGATGATGATGCTGGTGATGCTGATGATGCTGATGATGACGATGCTGCTGATGCTGATGATGCTGATGATGCTGATGATACCGCTGATGCTGACGCTGCTGATGGTGCTGCTGATGATGAAGATGATGCCGCTGATGATTCTGCTGATGATGATGCTGCTGATGCTTATGCTGATGCTGCTGCTGATGATGCTGCTGCTGCTACTGATGATGATGATGATGATGATGATGATGATGATGATGATGATGATACTGATGATGATGACGATGATGATGACGACGATGATGATGCTGCTGATGATGATGCTGATGATGCTGGTGATGATGCTGATGATGATGCTGATGATTATGATGATGATGATGATGATGATGATGATGATGATGATGATGATGATGATGATGCTGCCGATGATGCTGATGATGATGCTGCTGCTGCTGATGATGATGATGATGATGATGATGATGAGGAGGAGGATGAGGATGAGGATGATGATGATGATGATGATGATGATGATGATGATGATGATGATGATGATGATGATGATGATGATGATGATGATGATGATGATGATGATATTGATGATGCTGCTGATGATGATTATGATGATGGTGATGGTGGTGGTGGTGGTGATGGTGATTGTGATGGTGATGCTGCTGCTGGTAGTGATGGTGGTGATGGTGGTGATGGTCATGGATGTCGAGGTGATGCTGATGCTGATGCCGATGCTGGTGAAGGTGATGGCGGTGGTGATGATGATGTTGCTGGTGATGCTTCTCATGATGTTGTTGTTGGTGGTGGTGATGACGATGATTGATGCTGGTTGTGGCACAGCTTTTCAGGAGCGAAAGAAGGATGTACACGTACATGAATCCACTCTGGTTTCGAGAGCACGCATTGCGCGAATGTTCGTATCACGCGGCGGGTTTCGCGGATCGAGGGGCCGTGTTCATGTACATGGTTGGGCGCGTACGTCCTTTGTGGGCTCGCTAGCTTTCGAGCCCCAGAGGGAGGATCTGGAGGGAGTAGGGGGGAGGGAGGGAGGGAGGGAGGGAGGTTAGAGGATGGAGGGTGGAATGTGGAGGGTGGAGGGAGGAAGGCAGAAAGTGGAGGGGTGGGGCGTGGAGGTCGGAGGCAGGGAGTAGTTGAGAGGAAGGGAGGGAGAAGGGGGGAGGGAGGAGGGAGGAGGGAGGGAGGAGGGAGGAGGGAGGAGGGAGGAGGGAGGAGGGAGGGGCGGAGGGTGGAATGTGGAGGGTGGAGGGAGGAGGGTGGAGAGTGGAGGGTGGGGCGTGGAGGTTGGAGGCAGGGAGGAGTTGATAGGAAGGGAGGGAGGAGGGAGTCTGTCAGGGCCAAGTCGGGCGTGCCCCTCACAGGAGGAATGTGTTCAACAACAGTCAAAAATAGCCAGGGGACGATTGAATTCTTATTTTGTGACTGTTTCTTATAATATGGTTTGAAACATATTTTTCGTACACAATCCGCCTGTAGGGGGACATGCCCGACCTGATGTCAGGGAGACTGCCGGGGCGCCCGGAGGACTCCGTCGGGCGCCTCCCGCTGAAGTTCGTCGTCGTCTCGCAGCTGCCCCGCACGAGCAACGGCAAGCTCGCCCGCCGCCCTCTGCAGGCCATCTGCAGAGCCCAGCCGCGGCGGCGCGCCCAGGGGGGCCAAGGAGCAGGGGGCCGGCCTTCCCAGAAGGCTCATAGGTCGGGAGCCTCGCGACGGGGGTCAATGCAAACGGGGGTCAGCCAGAGCGCCGGATCTTGCAGGATCCTGCAGGGCCAGGGTCGCATTGACCCGGGTTTGGGTGCAGGGTCCTGCAGGATCTTGCCGGATCCTTCGCATTGACCCGGGTTTGGGTGCAGGATTTTGCAGGATTCTGCAAGGTCTGACTGACCCGGGTCTGGATTGACCCGGGTCAGGAGGTCTCCGAATAGGGCCTCCGGCCTCTTGCTCTGGGCCTCCCACGTGGGACCCGAGTATGTGGGGCCGAAGGATCGTTCCGCATCGCCGATGCATCGGCCACGCGGCTCGATGTGGAGCCCGACTCTCTCAGCGTCGACGTCGCCGATGCATCGGCGAAACGACGCATCGCCGATGCATCGGCGGAACGGCGCGATCCTCCGACCCCACCCGCTCGGACCCCATCTGGGAGGCCCATCTTTGAGGGGCTTCTGCAGCCTTCTCCGAGGATGCAGAGGGCTTTTTCGAAGGCCAGGTGGCTCCTCCGAGGCTCCGCCGACGTCTGAGAAGGCCTACCCCTCACTGTCGCCGTCGCCGTCGCCGTCGCCGTCGCCGTCGCCGTCGCCGTCGCCCTCGCCCTCGCCGTCGCCGTCGCCGTCGCTGTCGTCGTCGTCGTCGTCGTCGTCGTCGTCGTCGTCGTCGTCGTCGTCGTCGGCCTATGCCCTCTTCGGCGCGCCACCGGCAGCCGCCGGGGGACCTCAGCGGCGTCGCGAACGCAGCCTGGCGGCGGGCAGCGTGGGGCCCAGGGGGCCAGCGGTGCGGCGGGGCTGCCGCCCTGGCAGACCGAAGAGTCCGAGGCTCCAGGGCTCTCTCGCCGTGGGGGAGGCGTCGGGGGCTCTCCCGCCGTGGGGCTCCACCGACAGCTCCGGTGGCAGCGTCCGCATGGCGTGCCCGTGCCACTTTTGGCACACCCGTCACTCAGGAGGGAAAAAAACACACAGACACAATTAATCGTCGATCCCCAGGAAAATATGCGAAAATATGGGAAGTGGGGGGGAAGACAGAAACCCAGAAAATATGGGAAAATATGGTGAATCTTTTTATTTGTGTGTATTTATTTGTGTGTTCTGGGGCCTCTTCAGTCACACGCGTCGTGGCCCGAGAGAGAGGCTCACCGAGGACGATGCCCACAGTGGCGTAACTCACAACTGCACATGCTCGGGTCCTTCGCCAGGATAAAGGCCTTCTCGCCGTGGGGGACGCGGCTCCTGAGGGAAGCAGGTCATGAGTTTTTTCGCCGTTTTCGGGCCCTCGGGGCCCTCCTCGGGCCCAGGTCAGGCAGTGGCGAAGTGTCCCAGCTCGCCTCGAGGCCTACCAGGGAATCTTCTAATGATCTTTTGTGGTCTGCACGAATTTTTCTCAGAACATTTCTGGCTGAGACTGTGTTGTTTTAACGCATCGGGCGTGTGTTCTAAGGACATTGTTTTTACTCTTAGAACATTCTTGGGTTCTGAGAAGATTTCGTGGTAGGCCTAGAGGAGTGCCGGGACGGTCGGTCCCTGCTCAACCGGGGGCTGCCAGGGAACGGCTCGGGATGAAGAGCTCGTCCCGGGGGAAGGCCCCCGGGGTCTGGGGCCCGTTCCCCTCGGCGGGCCCGCTCCCCCGTGCTGAGGCTCGGAAGGGAGAGCACACCGCACGCGTATGCACTTTCGCAGGTCCGCGGGGGCCTCCGAGAGCTCATGGTTGTGCCTCGTCGTGTGCGCCTGCATCAGGCAGCCCGTGGCGCGAAACCCGCGCGAAGGGCGAGGTCGACTGCTCTCCGGGACCTCCGAGGGCGGGGGTTGCTCCAGGCTGGACGGCTCGTGCGGGGGCACCGAACGGCTTCCACGTCGTCAATCGGCAGAGCGTGCAGCAAGGGCGCCCTCGAGGTCGCGAAGTTGTTCGCGCTTCGCGCTTCGCGGTTCGGCTCCGATTCTTCCTCATCCTCCTCTTCGCCCCTGGGGGGCGGCGCGAGAGCGCGAAGATCGGCGCCCTTGTACACGCGGGTGAGGCGAGGGGGCTAGCCCGGTAAGAAGGCAGGGTCTCTCGACCAGGTCTCGGAGGCTCCAACGAAGGCTTCTCAGAGGTCAGGAGGGCTTCTTTTGTGATGTTCTAACCTACCTCAGTCTTGACCACCAGAAAGAAGTTCGAGCGCCACGAAAATACTGAAACTGGATGGGTTTCACGAGTCGGGCCCTGGGAGGCGAGACTCGTTCGACACCTCGCTGGCACGTCGTGCAGACACTGTCTCGATCCTCTTTCTGGGTGCTCGAGATGGTGTCCGTGCGAGGCACGAGGGGAGCAGCGTAAAAGGCTTCCGAGAAGCTCCCTGCCCCTCTCACGCCGCTCCCCCTCCCGTGCGCCGCCGAGCCCAGGCACGAGCCTGCCGTGGGAGGGGAGCCTGCCGAGCAGGCGGAGCTCCGAGTCGCGCCACCCCGCGCCCCTCTGGCGCTACGTCTCGGGCCTGTCCCTCTGCAGGAGGAGAGCTCCCAAATTAGTAATCCCAATAGTCGGGGGGCGATTTTTTGGCTGCCTTGGTCTTCGTGTCGGCCATTTTTTGGCTCTCTTTGTGTTCGCCCAGGATCCCCCTGCAGGAGGACAAGCCCGACCTAACTCCTTGGCGAGGCGGGGCGCCCCCTCGGGAGCCCGCCCCCCCCCCCCTTGAGCCCTGGGCCTCCTCTGCCTGCCGCCAGTGGCAGGCCGGAGGGAGGTGGGCGGGAGCGGGTCGGGGCCCAAGTCGGGGGCCGGATGGACCTCCTACCCTGACACGTCGATTAGCGAATTGGCCGTTTTCGGTTCGCGGGAGGGCGTCGCGGCCGTCGTTTTTGCGGGTCCAGGTCCGTCGGTTTCGGTCCCCGGCCCTCTTCACTAAGGGGAGTTTTGCTAAAGGGAGGTTTGTCCACCGCCAGATCCTGCAGGATCCCGCGGAGCCAGGAGCGCATTCGCCCGGGTTCGATCCTGCAGGAACCTGCAGGATCTTGCGGGGTCTTGCAGGATCCTGCAGAGTCCGACTGACCTGGGTTTGGACTGGCCCGGGTCCCCGAGCGGGGCAACCGGGCTCGCCTTCAGGACCACCCCCTCGCCCCGCCCCGACCCCTTCCAGGGAGGCAGTTTTCTGCTCCAGATCAGTCTTCGATGGTCCTGGGGCCCGAAAGCGGACTTCAGTGGCTGAACCTGTGGAAGAGCGCCAGGATGGGAAGCATCACGATTCTCTTCGGAGATCTGGGTCCCCTCCACAGAGGCAATTAGAGTTTGGGAGGAGGATGAGGAGGCGGATGAGAAGAAGGATGCTGATGCTGCTGATAATGACGATGATGATGATGATGATGATGATGATGATGATGATGATGATGATGATGATGATGATGATGATGATGATGATGATGATGATGATGATGATGCTGATGCTGATGCTGATGCTGATGCTGATGCTGATGCTGATGCTGATGCTGATGCTGATGCTGATGCTGATGCTGCTGATGATGATGGTGATGCTGATGATGCTGATTTTGCTGCTGATGATGCGGATAATACTGATGATGCTGCTGCTGATGATGATCATGATGATGGTGGTGGTGGTGGTGGTGCGATGAAGGTGGTAATGGTGGTGATGATGATGGTGATGGTGATGGTGATGTTGATGGTGATGATGGTGATGATGATGATGATGATGATGATGATGATGATGATGATGATGATGATGATGATGATGATTAATATGGTGATGTTGGTGATGCTGGTGATGATTATACTGATGATGATGGTGGTGGTGGCGGCGATGATGATGATGATGATGCTGATGATGATGATGATGATGATGATGATGATGATGAGGATGATGAAGATGAAGGCGACGAGGAGGAGCAGGAGGAGGAGGAGGAGGAGGAGGAGGAGGCGGCGCAGGCGGCGGAGGCGGCGGAGGCGGAGGCGGAGCGGAGGCAGAGGCGGAGGCGGAGGCGGAGGCGGAGGCGGAGGAGGAGGCGGAGGAGGAGGCGGAGGCGGAGGAGGAGGCGGAGGAGGAGGACAAATAAGAGGAACACAACGAAGAAGAATACTAAGAATAATACATATAAAACTAGTAATAAGACAAAGACACATAAGCATAACAAAACAATGCCAATACCACTGATAAGAAGAACTCTAAGAAGACGAACAAGCATACGACTAAAACGACAAAGAGGAAACCGCATACGAATAATCATACCAATGCGAATCATAATACGAGGAAGAAGACGGATACTAATACTAGTACAAGTAGACGGCCAACACACATACTACTCAGTAGACAAATAGTAATTATGAGAAGGATCGCGCGACTAGTACCAGGAATACGAATAATAACATCAGTACTGATAGTACGAACGACACGACTACTACGGGTACTACTACGAATGCCAAGACAAATGATACGAGTATTGAGCAGACTAAGAATAGTCATACTATTAACCCGAATAATGCGAATAACAACAAGACGAATCCTAAGCCGACGGTTAGGCATAATACGAAGCAGATGTACCAGCATACTACGACAGCTACGAATACGACCACGCCCACGACAACCCAGACATATGTTCAGACGATTGCGAATCCGAAGTGTACTAATACTAATGCTACGACGAAGAATGCGCATACGGCGAATACTCAACACGTGCATCAAATGTTGCGACAACACGGGTAAGACGACGGGGACAAATAACGACGACGGCGAGAACGCCACATGTTTGCACTCACCAGAAGAAACTATTACTGTACGCATAGGACTCAGAAGACTACGATTCAGACGAAACCTAATTATACGACCATACCACTACTAACAATAACACTAGTCATCCTAAAAAGACTGGGCATACTAACACGACTAATCATAATAATACTATTACTACTAATAATAATAGTAATAATACTAATATCAATAATACTAGTAATACTAATACTAATAATAATAATACTAATAAAAAAGTAATAATAATAATACTAATAATGCTAATAAGCATGCGACGATGACAACACTAATAAGGATCCTGATACGAATGCGGATAATCATGGCATGCACATAACAATAAGAAAAAGTGGATGTGGAGGAGGAGGAGGAGGAGGAGGAGGAAGAGGAGACGGCGGCGGAGGAGGAGGAGGAACAGGCGGAGGACGAGGCGGACGAGGAGGAGGAGGCGGAGGCGGAGACGGAGCCGAGGCGGAGGCGGAGGAGGAGAAGGAGGAGGAACAGGAGGAAGCGGAGGAGGAGGAGATCCAGTGTAAACCCAAGGGTCATCAACGATGTTGGAATACATCCTCCCTCCGCACTCCCCCTTCATAGGCCCCTACAGCGGGCCATTTCCATTGAGGGAACTGCTTCGTTCGAAGATGATCGCTTGAAGGCCCTGAAGCATGCCAAACCATTGTTCTCGGGAGTCCAGGGCCACGGATGAACCTGTCTGTTGCGTCTTCGCGATCTGGAATCGTGCCAGCACGCCGTTCCTGGGACTTCAACACAGCGAGCCAACGTAACTGTTGCACCCGCATGACCCTGAACCCTTTCAAACCACCATGCTTGTTACGTCTGTGATGGGGATCAGTGAAACTCTTGCATTTTGTGAAGACGAATGTGCGCGGCGTTAAGGCGAGAACCACATTTTGAAACGGTGCCGCCTTCAATCCGTGAAACCCTTGCAAGTTGGCAGAAATAAGGTGCGCCGCGCTACGGCGAGATTCGCATTTTGAACATGACCTGCCCTCAATCCGTGACGCCCTTGCATTTTTTAAAAGGATGTGTGTCGCGCTGGGGCAAGAGCCACAGTTTGAAAACGACCCGCCTTCAAGCCGTGGAAGCCGCGTTCAGGCGAGAGCCACATTGGAAAACGACACGCCCTCCATCTGTGAAAAGGTTGTCAACTTTTCACTGCCAGAGTCCGAACATGTTCGGAAGTCTCAGGCTAAACGCCCAGACCGCCCTGAAAACTGGCTTCGGGGTGCGACACGGAGAAGTTAGTTATAAGGGAACGGGACAGGGGAGGAGGAGGAAGAGGAGGGGGAGGAGGAGGAGGAGTAGGACGAGGAGGAAAACGGACGAGGAGGACAAGGACGATGAGGAAGAGGCGGAGGAGGAGGAGGAGGAGGAGGAGGAGGAGGAGGAGGAGGAGGAGGAGGCGGAGGCGGAGGAGGAGGAAGTGGAGGAGGAAGCGGAGGTGGAGGAGAAGGAGGAATCGGAGGAAGAGGAGGTGGAGGAGTAGGAGGAGGATGAACCATAATCACATTAAGGATAAGACTATGAACAGTACATGCAATAATACTGGTAGTAATACCCAGAAGAATAAGACGGCTACACCACGATTAGTCAGACTATTAAGATTACTAGTAATGCTAATACTACGAACACTACACTAATACTACGAATGCTAATCATAATACTAATGATCATACTGTTACTATTACGAATGATAAGGCTAACCACCAGAGTATGCATACTACTAATATTTCAAGCCGGTTAGTACGTGGAGGAGGAGGAGGAGAACGAAGAGGAGGAGGAGGAGGATGACGAGGAGGAGGAGGAGGAGGAGGAGGAGGAGGACGAGGAGGATGAGGAGGAGGAGGATGAGCAGGAAGAGGTCGAGGCGGAGGCGGAGGCGGAGGCAGAGCCGAGGCAGAGGAGGAGGAGGCGGAGGAGGAGGAGGAGGAGGAGGAAGAAAAAGAAGAAGACGAGGAGGAGGAGAAGGAGGAGGAGGAAGAGGCGGAGGAGGAGGAGGAGGAGGAGGAGGAGGAGGAGGACGAGCAGGAGGGAGGAGGAGGAGGAGGAGCAGGAGGAGGAGGAGGAGGAGGAGGAGGAGGAGGGGGAGCAGGAGGAGGAGGAGGAGCAGGAGCAGGAGGAGGAGGAGGAGGAGGAGGAGAACGAAGAGGAGGAGGCCTCGGCGAGCGAGGGGGGCCGCCTGTCCCGCGCCACCTCCGCTCCGCGGGCGGAATGCGTGTCCCAGCTGCAGGTGGAGTTCGCCCGCTGGCTGCGGGAGGCGCGGGCCACGCTGAGCGGCGAGGGGATCGCCGCGGCTGAAAACTCATCATCATCTTCTTCTTCATCTTCATCATCTTGTTGTTGTTGTTGTTGTTGTTGTTGTTGTTGTTGTTGTTGTTGTTGTTGTTGTTGTTGAATATTATTACTTCTAAAGAATAATTATTGTTGGGCCCCCTGGTGCACGCCCCCCTCGCCGCGCCTAGGCCGCAGCCACATTTTCATCATTTTCGTGAGGAAGTCTCAGGCAAAACGGGGGAGTCCGGATCTGGTTGTTTTGTTGACGCCCGCTTTCCCTGTCAAAAAACAATAAAAATGACATGTTCTTGTTCTAACATAACCAAACTTCAAGAATCCTTTGCAAAAAATGACACGAAGTGCACACTCGCGCGCGCAAGATGAAATCCTTCCAAAACCTTAGTTTTCGTAGCGATTTTAACATAAAAACATGAAAAACCCAATGGTTTTTCAAAACAAAAGTTTCAAAATTCATCCCGCGCGCTCTTGCGGATTTCTTAGGAAACCCAGTACTTTTTCAACATTTCTGTCAAACGGGCTCTTGCGAGCAACTTTTTCACGTGCTTCGAACTTCTGCAACAACGGTTGCGCGCCTGCCAGGGCCATCATCCCTGTCAAATAATACCATATGGGACACATTCGTTTTTTCTTCGCGCGCGCACGCCGAAATCTTCAATTGCAGGGGGAAAAGTCGTATACTAAGCTAGCTTACAGAAAATGTTACCACAACAAGTCATTGTACCCATGCGCCAGTGTAGTAGCCAAGGTCGTCCGCAGGCCACGAAGTGAGGTGTCCGAACGTCATAGGGCGGGAAGCTGGGTGTGGGTGGTGGCGAAGAGTCGTTTGGAAATGTGGTAGAGCTTGAACCGCCCCCCCACAAAGTGGGGGTATTGCCCGCCTCCTATGAAAACCCTGGCACTGGTGAGAACGGAGTGTCCCCACGTGCTAGTAATTGTTGTTGTTGTTGTTCTTCTTCTTCTTCTTCTGTATGTTATGTAACCGCTTCGCTCATTCCGCCGACCCATATTGTGCAGCTTTCAGACCTTTTGGGGCATCTGGGGCCTGTTCTGGCGCAAGGCTCGAATTGTCGCTTCGTGTTCCCCCTCTTGGGCACGTCTTGGGGCCGTTTTGGGGCTCACTGGGGCTGTCTTGGGCGCCTCGGTGAGAAGAGGAAGATGATGAAGACTGGATTGCGATGTTGTTTTAAGCGAGAGCGCGATTCCTGACTGTGTGCGTGCTTGAGGCTCGCGGTGCTTGTTCTTCCTTGTCGCTCCTTTCTCGCACTTCTGGCCTCCATCTGCCCGACACCAGCTCTCCTCCGCGTCCTCCTCGTTCGACCCGAGTGCCCATACAGCAACTCCTGCATACTGGATCTAAGATCGACGGCCTTCTGCCCATCCAACTGTTGTGCGTGTGTTGTGGGTCAGAATCGTCAGGGATGCTCGTGGCGAGCGAGAAGGAGGATGATGAGGACAAGGACGAGGAGGAGGATGAAGAAGAGCAGGAGGAGGAGGAGTAGGAGGAGGAGAATGAGGAGGATGAGGAGGAGGAGGAGGAGGAGGAGAAGGAGGAGGAGGAGGAGGAGGAGATCCTTCGATCGCTTCTTGGGGCATTTGGGGGCCAATCCTGATCGTGGACAAGACGCCTGTTTGGGAGGCTGGTTTGTGTCTCTTGGGAGGCCTCTCGGGGGCCTCTCGGCGTTATCTTTTTGGGACCTCCTGGGGCCTCTTAGCGGTCTCTTGGGGACTCAGGGGGTCTCTCGGGGGCTTCTTGCGAGTCTTTGGGGGGCTTCTTGGGGCCTTCTGGGGGGCCTCTCGGAGCCAAAAGCTGACATGTCCGTTCGGGTGCCTCGTCCGGGCCCGCCCTTGGAGCTCTCTTGGGGGCCTCTTGGGCCGTCTTCGACGGCTCTTGGGCTGTCCTCGGGCCCTCTCGGGCCGTTTCGGGGCCCTCTTGGAGGCGTCCTGGGCCGTAGTGGGGCGATCTTGGTGGCCTCTCTCTTGAGCCGTCTTGGCGCGCGGGTAAGACGAAAAAGCGAGTACGCCCAAAAGGCCATAGGAAATTCATTACCTTCTGCCTCTGGGGGCCTTCTTGGGAGAGCTCTTGGTAGGTTTTGTGGGCGTTTCAAAGGCGTCTTGGGCCATCTGAAGGCCACATTGGGCATCTTGGACCGATCGTTCGACGACTTGGAGCCCTCTTGGACCGTCCAGGGGGCCTTTTGGGGCCCTCTTGGAGCGCACTAGAGGGCCTGAAGGGCGGCGCCCAGAAGGAAAACCATGTCTGACCCGAACCGGCCGGGGTACTTTTCGCCCAGGGACCTCCAGGGGCCACCCCGCGCGCGCGAAGTAGAAATATTGTAAAGCAGTTGTCAGAGACTTTTGCACGCCCCTGGCCCGTTGGGCCGGCGAGTTCTTTTCACGCGGCCTCGTTGCTGGTTTCGATGGATGTTGTTTGTTTTTGCCTGTCCGTCGTTCGGCCTGGTCGCGCCTGGCCCGTCGGCCGCCCCTTGGTCGCTCCGCCCATCGGCTGCCTTCTCCCTGGCTGGCTTCGATGGATGTTGTTTGCCTTCGCTTGTCCGTCGGCTGCCCTGGTCGCGCCTGGCCCGTCGGCCGCCCCCAGGGACACGTCTGGCAGCACACGAGACTTCTGCGCGCCGCCCACCGTCGTCGTCGTCGTCGTCGTCGTCGTCGTCGTCGTCGTCGTCGTCGTCGTCGTCGTCGTCGTCGTCGTCGTCGCCACTGCTCAGCTCTCGTCCAGGACCAGCGGCTTCAGGGCGAGCTGTGGTCCTTACGCGCCGGTCGTTGAAAGTAAGGTATTTTTGGAATTCCAGGCTCCTGTCTATTTTGGGCGCCTTCCTACTTCAAGGATCGAGTGGATTCACCCTTTCTTTTCTCGTCATGGAGCGGGCGGAAGCCCAATCTGCTTCCAACGCCTTCCTACTTCATGCTTCTACCCTCTGTCTCCCGACCGACGGGTAACTACTCCCCTGGGGGACCCACCGGTTTCGACACCCATTTCGAGGGATCGATCTGATTGGTTCGGTTCACCCCGGGGGGGGCAGCAGGGTCGCGCCGCGTCGACGCGGCAGCGACGCCAGCTCGGGAGTTGCTTGAACGTCGCCAGTGGCTCAGAACGGGCCGACGTCGAGTGATCTGCAAGCGAGGCATACCAAACCTAGAGACCTGGGGTGGGTGGGTCTGGGTCGACGCGGGTCATCGCAAGCCTGGCGGCCTGGTGGGGGCTGAATCGACCGATGCGTAGCAGACCTAGAAGCCGGGTGGGGTCTAGATCAGCCGAGGCGTAGGAAATCGAGCCGCGGTCGTTCTAAGGTCGAACGATCCACGGGATGTCAGGAACCAGCGACGAAGTCATCGCGGCACGAACCTGCCGCAGGGAGCTCTCTCGTCGCTGCGCCGGGGGTCGCGCGGTGCGTCCTGGAGCCCGCGCGTAGGAGAGGACCCGCGGCAGGGCGGGGTGCCACCGTGAGAGAGGGCGAGCGGCGAGGCAGATGGCGGCCCGCGGGGGCGGGGGAGGAGGGGAGCGGGCGGTGCGCCCAGGCCGTGCAGGCAGGCGGTGTGGTCCTTCACGGGAGCCCTCGTCGGATTCGGGCGATTGGGTCCTTAGCCAAAGGGGGGTCTCGAGCATGTGCTCAATAGCTTCGCGCAGTCGTTCGTGCGGGATACGCACGTCGTGCAACATCAGCTCGTGGCTGCCTCGCGTCATCCGCCACAGGATGAGCCGCCGCACTTTTTGCGACCCCGCTACGAAAGACTCCCTATGCCCGGATTTAGCGTAGACAGGGCAGAACAGAAAAGGCCTCAACCTAGTCGGTGCATCGGCAGATTGCTCCGCAACTCGTAGTGTACACTAGAGGTGGTGTGCAATAGTGTGCAAACGGCTGCACATAGCCTCGGAGAGGTCGTTGTATTCTTTGCTCCAGCAAAGTGGGAGGGAAACCTGCGCGGCTTTCTGGAGGGAGGTGGAGGGAGGTGGAGGGAGGGAAGGAGGTAGGGAGGGCCCAAGGAAGTCCCAGAGTTCTTTTGCAGTTTTGGGGGATTTCGTCCGGCATCGGACGGGGCGAGGACGAGGATAAATCCGTTCCAGAGCGTTTGGGGACGCTCTCAGAGCGTTCCAGAACGCTCTGAGAAGGCTGCGGCGCCCGAGACATCCTCCAGAGCCGGCGGATCTCAGAGATTCTCGTTTTATTACCACACGGGTGTTATCCGCGTCCTGGCTTCGTCTTACCCCAGCATTGGCCAGCTCGCTTGAATTGCTTGGATTTGGTCTCCCCCGTCGTCCCTCTCGTCGTTCGTTCCTCCCTCTCCTCTCCTCTCTTCCCCTCGGCCTCTCGTCCCCGCTCGTCGTGCGTCCCTCTCTACTTTCGTGCGTCCTTCCTCCCCCCCAAACGGTCGTTGACTGTCTTCGTCTGTCCATCAGCCGCCGTAGGCGGGCCCGCCTGCCTGCACGCAGCCTGCCGCCCTCCCTTCCATTGGGGCCAGTCTCTGACTGCTCAGGGCACGCTCGCTCGCTCGAGGCCCCATCAGGCCGCGCACCAACCGTCACTCTTGCCTCGGATGCCTCTTGCGTGCAGGCGGCCCCCGCTGCCGCCCCCCCCCCCTCGCGCGAGCTGGTCGGCGTCGGCACCCTGACCACCAACGTTGCGGTGCGGCCCTGCGCCAGCCCTCCCCCGTCTTCAGGAGACAGAGGGACGTGCACGCACAGGAGTCCACGCTGTTCTCGAGAGTGCGCATCGCGCGAACGCTCGTATCACGCGGCCGGTCTCGCGGCCTGGGTGACCGCATTCCCGTGCGCTGGTGGGGGCGCATGTCCTCCGTGGGCTCCCCACCCCTCCGCGCCACGGGCAGGGCGGTGCTGATCTGGCGCGCTCGGTGGGGCGCCTGGGCTCTGCCGGATGTGCGGCCGTCGCAGGCCCCTGGCCGAGACGCCCCGCGCGGTGATATCCCCCTCCCCTCGCCTTCCCCCTCTCTCTTGCCTTCCTGCTCCTCCTCCGCCTCCGCCTCCTCCTCCTCCTCCTCCTCCTTCTCCTCCTCCTCCTCCTCCTCCTCCTCCTCCTCCTCCTCCTCCTCCTCCTCCTCCTCCTCCTCCTCCCCCTCCTCCGCGAAGTCGTGACGCCGAACTCTTGCTTTCAGGGGCGCGCCCGAGCCGAGCGACACAGCCGGAGCGGCGCCCAGCCAGGACGCCCGCTGCGAGAGGAGGCAGGGGTCCAAGGGTGTGTGCGGTTCGGTCGGTTCGACGACGTCGCAGACGTCAACATTCGGCTGGTTCGGACCAGTCGGCGGTTGTGTCGCTGCTGCTCCGCTGCGCCTTTCTGGGCTGCCTGCGGCTGGTCGGTTTCGGTCGGATTTGGCCTCGCTGTCGGGTTGGGCCGTTTTCGGTCCTGCTGTCGTCGTGGACGGCCTTGGGGTCCGGAGCAGCGTCAGGGGGGGAGCAGGCTCTGGGGGGGAGAGCGCCGCAGTCTCCTGAACTTTCGGGCGTGTTCGTGGTTCTCACAGGTTTTCTCGCCTCGGGCTGCTCTCCAGCAGGGACCTCGCCATCACTGGGGGGCTGCGAAGTGCGAAACTGTCGCCACTTTCGAGGGCTGCTGGGGGGGCCAGCACAGTGTGGTCTCACGCAGACCCAAACGACCTCGCCATCCCTGGGGGGCTGCGAAGTGCGAAACAGTCGCCACTTTCGAGGGCTGCTGGGGGGGCCAGCACAGTGGGGTCCCACGCAGATCCCCCAAAGACCTCGCCATCATCTCGCTGCTTCTGCCGAGGTGATTGATTGTTCTTCCACTCTGTTGTTTGTTTTTTGCTTTCGCTTCTTATTCCCAGTACAATTCCTCCTGACCTTCTGTACCTCTGTTCCGCCAGTCGGCCACGCACACTTCGCACGATATAGATATCCGCCGTGCACCGTCTCGCGGCACACCTTCTGTAATCCCTTGGTGCCGATGGGATGGGTACGTCGCAGAGAAAGTCATTTCTTTTCATTTGTGTTGCTTGTCGTTTCTACAGTTCGGATGCTCAGGTGAAACGGCTGGGCTCCAGCTGCAAGGCTCCGACTGTGGCAGGCAACAGGAACTGGAGGAACGTCTCGTCTGGCAGGCACCCTGACAAACCAGGGGTGGTGGTGGAAACTAATTACAGTTTGGTGATCACCACATGAGACGAGATTCCGGAGATGGCAGTGATGTCTCGTGCTGCCCTCTCTCACTTTGTTCTGAGACATGGCCGTAGAGTATGGCGTGTTTTTTTATTGCTTGGGGCATGGTGGGCGTCATGGCCCCCGGCCCCCCCCCCACCCTAATGACGTAACGCTCCACCCCCCAGTGCGCACGGGGCACTGCCGCCGTGCGCATCGGGATCCGCATAGTTGTCCGCGTAAGAATCCGCATCGGAGTCTGGTCCGCAGTCGTCGTCGTCGTCGTCGTCGTCGTCGTCGTCGTCGTCGTCGTCGTCGTCGTCGTCGTCGTCGTTGTCGCTCGTCGCTCGTCGCTCGTCACTCATCATCGTCGTGCGCGCGGATGCGGCTGGAGTCTGTTTTTTGTATTCCGGGCCGATGACGGCAATCATCTGAAAGGGGGTGGGGGGGGCCGATGACGTCACGTTTCGCGCTGGCGGCGTCTGGGAATGCCTAATGCTGATCGAGGTCGGGTACCAGCAGCATGTCGGTGGCGATCTGCACCACAACGGTGTACACCACACCGCCTATGTACACCACAGCAGCCGCGTGCAACACAGCGCCAGAGTGTGCCGCAGTGCCTCCTGGCACCACAGCGCGTGCGTACACCACATCAGCTTGTGCATCACAGCACTCGTGTACACCACAATGCCTGCGTGCACTACAGCGCGTATGTACATTACGGCGCCTGTGCGTACCGCAGCAACCGTGTGCAACAAAACACCACTGTTGTATATAGAATGTTAATCGGAATCCTTATGACAAAATAGAGTGCCTGTGGATTCCGTAGCCATGGTGGCTCAAGATTCTTTTGTTGGCCCGAGCCGCGCGGCAAGATCGGGTCTCGCCAGCATGCGGCCCGCCGCAGCCTGTTGCAGAAGCCCATGATGTCCTCCAGCCTTTGGGGCGTGCTTCATGTTTTTGGCGCGCGTTCGGCGAAGGTGGATCCCCAGGGCTCGGCCAGTCCTCAGCTGGCTTCGGGCGGCAGGCGGTGCTGGGCCCCTCACTGGGGGATCACGCGCGCGCAGCTGCAGGAGCTGCTGCTGCAGCTGCGCAGCGACGACAGGTGGGTCACCACGTACAACGTTTACGACCTGGTGGATAAGTTTATCAAGCCAGCCACCGCGGGCACGGGCACAGGATACGCGCTCATGATAAACAGGGACCAGCCGAAGGAGGTCAACCTGATGGTCTCGCACGCGTGGTCCGAGAACGCCGAGGAATTCCTGGAGACATGCATCCGGTACGCCTCCGACACCGACGCGATGTTCATAGTTCGCCCTGGCCCTCTACCAGGTCGGGGACGCGTCTGGGCCCACGGTCGAGGAGCAGCTGGGCGACGGGCCCTCTGACAGCCCCTTCTTCCGAGTGCTGAAGCACATCAACGACCGGGGCCGCCGCCTGGGCCCACTCCGGTGGCCGCTCCGGCTTGTCTGCACCTGCCCGCCGCTGCTCCTGGGAGCCGGGCTCATCGCGCTCTACCTGACGACGCTGTGGCACGGCTGCGTCCCCCTCGCCGACGCCTGCGCCACCAGGGTGATGTTGGACGACTCGGGCGAGGCGCGCATGTTCTCGTGGGAGTGGCAGTGGGTCGACCTTCCGGACGACACGTCGGGCAGCTCTCGAGCTGGGCTTCTGCTCCTCGCGGCCGCCCTCGCCTGCCAGTGCCTCAAGAGGCTGACGTACAGCGGCCACATGGTGGTCGTGCCGAACAGGGAGTGCGACATCTACACTCGGCTCTGGTGCGTCTACGAGATTTTTGTCGCTCGAGAGCGCACGGGCGTCCCGTTGCCCTCGGGCACACCTTCGCTTCCGCGGGCAGATGCAGCTCCCGGGAGGCGACCTGCGGCAAGCCAGTTCAGCCAGGGGACCCCCCTAATGCAGACACCGTCCGCATCACTAAGAAGATCCTCGACGCCGGCGGCGACAAGGAGTACGACCGCATCGATCGGGCCGTCTTCTTGACGACCCGCGCCATGTATTTCAGTGCGGCTTTTTGGGTCCTGTGGTTCACGGCGCTCGTGGGCACCTTCTGCACCGCTGAGTGGCACCTGCGAGTCCCCCAGATCGGGGCCGGGGCGGCCGGGGCGGTAGTGGGGAACCTGCTCGCGTGCGCCGTCTGCGGCTGTACCGTGGTATCTCGCACATTGTTCGCGTGCACTAGAGCACAGGGGCGCCTCGCTCCGATGGCTGTCGCGATGGCCGTGCTTCCCTTGTTCTTAGGTGCCTGCACGCTCACCTTCGCGAGTTTCGTTGCCAGGGTGGCCTTGATGGACGAGGAGAAGATTCGTGATAGTTTCGGCTACACGCTCTTCGCCTCGTTCTGTGGGAACGGTGCCAGCTACCTCATGGCTGGCTGCGCGATTGGTTTCATGGGCATTGCGGCTGCTACGGTGGTACATTTGCTCCCCAACGCCCTCGTCGGCTTCGCGATGCGGCGGCCCGCGGCGTTTTGCTTGCTGATGTCCACGCCGCTGGTGTTGCTGCACGCCATGATGTTTAGGACTCGGATGTCGCAGCTTCGTGACCTCTACGCGGCGCTCGTGTTCCACACGGCGGGCGTCATCGGCTATTTCCTTATCTCGGTCGGCCTTTCGTGGTGGATCCTTGTGCACGAGTGGGGCGTGAGGGCTAACCTCAGTCCATAAGACTGGGATGATCTTCGCACCCAGACATGTTTCAGAGATCAGCGCCGCGCCCTTGCCAGCCCCAGTTGTGTGGCATTCTGGCGCGCTCAGGAGGTATACTTTTGACTGGTCGGCATCCACTCGCTGCGGACGCTGTGTGGCGCAGAATTGCTGTGCCGAGCGAGTGCTTCCGGGCCCTGTCGTCCCAGCCCGCGCCAGTGAAGTGCTGTGCGCCTGTTTTGGTGGGAGCCCTCAACGAATCAGGCGATACTGTCTGCCTGGGTGAACCTTGGCGGCCGTCAGCGGTGGTTATTCGCGGCGCAAGACCTGTTCTTTTCGGAGTATCTTGTCAGGCTCCAGTTGCTGCCCGTGCTTACTTTGCTGCTTGTCTCTTATCGTGTTCTGTTCCTGCAGGAAAACACGGAGGTCACGCAAGACCGGGCTTGTGTGTTCTTTGTGGCAAGAGCCCGCACCGCACCTGTCGCTGCCCGGCGAAACCAGCAAGCTGTTGAGTCGGATCGGAACTTATGCTTTATACCTTGATTTGCATATCGTATTGCTTGGTCTGTTTGCTGCGCGTTGCGGGATGACTAACAACAAATATTGAGCGCCTGTGGATTCAACAGTAAACACATGTATTATATAGGATTTGGAAAATGGAAAAAGGAGCGCCGCTGGAATCAACGAGTCCTCCGGAGTCTGCCCGCATCATCCTAACTCTTTCCATCTGCGTCCAGGAGGCTCTAGCAAAATTGGTCGTCCGAGAACCAAATGGACTGATTCAATAAACCATTCTGCGGTGCACGCTGAGATGCGCACGTGTGCTGTAGCGCCGGCCCGCACGAAAGGGGGAAAGGGTGAGGGAGGAGGAGGAAGACGAGGAGGGGAGGATGAGGAGGAGGAGGCGGAGGTGGAAGAGGGAGGAGGGAAGAACGTCGAAATCTTTTGTCAGCTCTTCCCTGGCATGGCGTTCAGCTGTCCGCAGCAGATCCTCATCGACATGCTCCTTCTACCTGTCCTGTGCACGCAGGCACTGGTGTACACCAACGCTGCGTTGCACGCGGATGCTGTGGTGTAGACAGGCGCTGTGGTGTGCACGGCCGCCGCGGTGCACTTAAGCACTGTGGTGTAGACAGGCGCTGTGTTGCACACGGCTGCTGCAGTGTACACATTCGGTGTGGTGTACACTGGCGCTGTGGTGCACGCAAGCCTTGTGGTGTACACAGGCGCTGCGTTGAACACGGCTGTTGCGGCGTACGCAGGCGCTGTGGTGTACACAAGCTCTGTGGTGCTCGCTACCACTCTGGTGTACACAGGCGCTGTGGGGCAGATCGCCATCTACATGCTGCTCGCGTCATCGTCGTCGTCGTCGTCGTCGTCGTCGTCGTCGTCCTCGTCGCTCGTCGCTCGTCGCTCGTCGCTCGTCGTCGTCGTGCGCGCGGGCGCGGCTGAGATGCCGGAGCCACACGGCGGGGGGGGCGTTACGTCATACCCCCCGCCCCCCCCCTATGACGCCCGTCATCGCCGAAAATATAGAAACGCGTTCGTAGACGGCAAACAATAGGAGGAGGAGGAGGAGGATAGGAGGAGGAGGAGGAGGAGGAGAGGAGGAGGAGGAGGAGGAGGAGGAGGAGGAGGAGGAGGAGGAGGAGGAGGAGGAGGAGGAGGAGGAGAGGGGGAGGAGGAGGAGGAGGAGGAGGAGGAGGAGGAGGAGGAGGAGGAGGAGGAGGAGGAGGAGGAGGAGGAGGAGGAGGAGGAGGAGGAGGAGGAGGAGGAGGAGGAGGAGGAGGAGGAGGAGGAGGAGGAGGAGGAGGGGAGGAGAGGAGGAGGAGGAGGAGGAGGAGGAGGAGGAGGAGGAGGAGAGGAGGAGGAGGAGGAGGAGGAGGAGGGAGGAGGAGGAGGAGGAGGAGGAGGAGGAGGAGGAGGAGAGGAGGAGGAGGAGGGGAGGAGGAGGAGAGGAGGAGGAGGAGGAGGAGGAGGAGGAGGAGGAGGAGGAGGAGGAGGAGGAGGAGGAGGAGGAGGAGGAGGAGGAGGAGGGAGGCGGAGGAGGAGGAGGAGGAGGAGAGGAGGAGGAGGAGGAGGAGCAGGAGGAGCAGGAGGAGGAGGAGGAGAAGCAGGAGGAGGATGAGGAGGAGGCGGAGCTGGAGGTAGAGGTGGAAGCGGAAGCGGACGCGGGAGGGGGAGGAGGGAGCAGTAGACGATGGAGGTGGAGCAGGAGGCAGGAGAATGTGAGGAAGATGACCAGCCCTTCGCGTGCCGCGAGAAGAGCGACGGGTGTGCGTCTCAGGCCCTTTGGGGCATCGCGCGTTTGCCCGCGGCGGAAAGCCAGCCCAGGGGGCAGGGTCGAATCGAAGTCGGCTTCTCCTGCACGGCGATGGACGGCACAGCCACGACCCCGAGGCGGAGGACGATGAGTAGGAGGAGGATCGGGCCAGAGGAGGATGAAAGAGGAGGGAAGGAGGAATATGGAGCACGGTGGATGCAGGAAGCAGGATGGCTGGACGGAGAAGGGTGAAGCTTGGGAAGGTCGGAGGGAGGGAGGGAGAGGACGTATTGGGTCAGGCAGGCGGGATGGAGGGACGTGGAGGGCCGTCCTGCTTCTCTTTCTCTACCCTCCTGCTGTGGAGTCTTCATGTACGCAGGTGCATGGCAACTGGTGAGGCAGGACCTTGTAGCGGCGCGATGCATGCCTCCTCCTCCTGCTCCTGCTGCTGTTCCTCCTCCCTCAATTCTTATCCCTCTTTCGTTCTCCTCCCGAGCCTTCTCCCTCCTCGCCGTCCTCCTCCGTCTTCCTAATGTCTGAGGAGGAGGAGGAGGAGGAGGAGGAGGAGGAGGAGGAGGAGGAGGAGGAGGAACAGGAAACTGGAGACTGGACTTGATCTGCGTGGCCTGCATCTGCAGGCGGGGGGCCTCACGGTGATCATCCAGGGTGCGGATCGCAGAGTTGCAGTGCACAGTGATCGGGGTAGGTTCATGAGCGACGCATGTGCGCCTGATAATCTCGTGCAAAACTACCATGTAGCGATCCACGAGTGCGCGGTTTCCAGGTTGAAGTTGCGATGGCCTCACCATCCAGTTTTGCAGACTCTCGTCCAGCGGTGCAATTTTGAAGTCTGTGTCCGGGCTTGAACGACGGGTGCTTTTGGCTGGCGCTGGCGGTGCGTCGTTGCGGAGAGCACTGCCCTGGGCAGCATGCCGTTCGTGCCCCTCGGTGGCGTCCGCTGGCGCGGCGGGGTGCAGCTCGGCTGCCAGGCTCGTCGATGTCGATTGCCTTTTGCCGGTTGCCGGCTTGAGCACCTGGGCGCCTGTTCCAATATCGGGAGACTCTTCATGGGGGGGGATCCCATGGGGGGATAGGATCCCAGGGGGGGGATCCCATAGGATCCCCTGGGGATCCCATGGAGAGTCTCCCGACAATACTGTCACTGGGTTGCGTGCGTACCCGTGCGGGCCCCATCGGTGCCCGGGTAGCGGACACCTTCGGTGGGGCTTCGTGTGGCTGCAGGTGTCCTTCCAATTCTGACTTTTCGGCCCTTCTCTCGGCCCCTTCGCTCGGAATTGGAGCCTCTTCATGCGGCAACCTACATCTTCCGAACATCGTTCCGAAATCGATTTTGAGCGCAGCTTCGTTTGCCAGGAGTGTCCATCGGCCGCCTGGCACCCCTGCTCATGCCGCCTGTGCTGCTCCGTCCTTCCCTTCTGCTCCTGCCAACTCCCTCCTCTCTCCAGCGCCCCCCCCCCTCCCTTCCCTCCCTCCCTCCGTAGCCATTTTGGCTCAAGGTTGTGGTTTCCCCTGGAAACAAAGTGGATACCGCTAGTCCGCGGCTTGATTCCAATTTCTCGGTCAGTTCGCCCTGACCTTGATCCTGCGTGCTGGTCCGCCCCAGCCCAGGACGCTTTGCCTTCTCTCGCCGGTTTCACGACACGTCAGAAGTCGGATGGTAAAGCTAAGAACAAGTCTTACCCTACGTGCTCGGGCCGTCAAGCCTGGTGCTACGATTAGAGGTTGCGCAACCAGTTTAGTAAGTGCAAGAGCTGCGGCCTCCACCGGACGGGCTTCGTGTGCGATCCTTGGATGCGTGACGACAAGAGCTGGAAGGATTGGACCCCGCTTTCGGCGGACTGGCCGTCCCTCCTGCCCCCCCGCGCGGAGCTTGAGCAGTTGCTGGAGCAGTACCTCAAGGCGACGGGTTTGTCGGCCGACCCGAATGCCCGCTCCTTGGCCCAGCAGTTTCAGCAGGTTGCCGATGCGTCCAAGCCCAAACCCAAGGAGAAAAGCCCGTACGTTGTGCTGCGCGAGGCCACCTCGCTCTGCGCCCAGAAGCAGGCCAAACTCGAGAAGGCCTCCAAGGCGCTAGTCGCGGCGGAGGCGTGGCTGGCCGACGCCAACTCTCGGCAGCTCGCGATCGCGGAGGACCTTATCTTGGCGGACCAAACTCGCCTTGCTGCCCAGGCGGCGGTGCACGGCGGCCCCGCAGCCATCGAGAAGACGGAGTCTCCGACTGACCCCGCGACGGCCTTCGGCGTCGACCCGTCTCTCTTCCAGCACTTGGACGACTACGGGGAGGATGACAGGCAGAAGCTGGAGGCCTTCCAAAAGCAACTCCAGGACGTGTCCGTCCAGGCCACGGCTCGGGAGCAGGAGTTCAAGGACCTGCTCGCTTCCGCCGAGGCCGCGGCCTCCTCCCCGCGCAGGAAGCGGCGTGCTGAGGACGGCGCCAAGGCGGACGAGGCCCCAGCTGCGGCTGGCTCCCCCGAGGGAGGTGGCGCCACAGGCGGCTCTGGAGCTAACCGACTCGGAGATGGGCGCGGGCGCTGCGCCTGGCGGTGCCGAGGCTGTCTCGGCGGAGGAGCGCGCCAAGGTGGCTGCCTCCATCGCCGCGGCTTCTCGTGGGGCGTGTCCCTCCAGGCGGGCCAGGGGTCTGCCCCCGCGGGCGAGCCGTCTGCTCCGCCCGTGGCTCCGCCTGCTGGCGCTCCTCAGCATCTTTGACACGGCGGATGCCTCAGAGGATGCGGCGATA